CTGAGCATGTTTGGCACGCGTCTCGTACCAGTCAGATGTAAGATGACGCTAGAGGGCTGGACCGCCGCAAGTACTCACGTCTTAATGATAGACAGGGGAGTGGAACAATCTGTCTATCACTTCGCCTACTTGGGTTTGACATCAGCCTGAACGAGCTGACTTCTGATGAAATCTCAGTCACGATACAGAAGGCCTGTCCGGCGTTTGCCGACATGCATCATACGACTGTGTATATCAAAGGACGAATATATTGCGATGCAGTCCTTTCTGTCCTGCTGTACGGCTGAGACATGGCATTTGAAAGTAGGAGGCATGTAGCGGTCACAGGATTTTGACCATAAGTGTCTTCGTGGCAAAGCTCGAGCTTGGTGGAATCACCGCATGAGCAGTGTTGGCGTCGGACGAATGGTATTGTGCAAGACATGTAAGACTACTGATGAGGAGAAGAACCTAATTCTGCTGAGGTAGCTGGGACATTTGCTGCGCATCCCGAGCCACCACGTACCCCAGCGTATCATGCTGGAAGAAGCTGGACTGGGTTGGAAGAGTTTTCAGGGTGGCCAGACCAACACCCGGAACCAGTCGATGAAATCTCCCACCCTTGCTTTGAGCCGTATGGGGACTGTGTGATTGGGGTCCACGAGACGGTAATAACCGGCAGCTGAGGACCTTTGGTGAAGTGGATGAAAATCGTTCACAGTGGTGCAGATATATTCACTCCTTTAAATCTTCTAACGCTTGAATATTTGCACTGACCCTCATCTCTAGATTTTCTCTTCTTTCACACAACTTTATCTACTTTGGTGTCACTCTTCTCTATCCACTTGTTCTTCGTGCACTACTGTGAAGTGTGGTAGCTTGAACCGATGCACCTATGTGCGAAACTCTACGTTGATTTTGTCAGTCAGTGACGTGGTCTGTATTTTATCACAAGCATTCAACGTACTGGCGCTGGTAGTACTTCAGCTGGTAGCCGAATTATTCTGCAGCTCTGGACCAAGGTAAGACAATAACTATATGGCTATTCGGAACGAAAACTCTGGCGACCTATGTACAATGAACGCTTGTGGAGTGACCAAACAATTTTTATTCTAACTAGCCTTGGGCAGTTGTCTGTAGAATTCGGTGGCTGTTTTTTATGTATTCTCAGTATATTCAAATATCTGAGAAGGGATTTTCCTGTGCCAACTTACATTTCTGACCAATTTGACTTTGACTGTGTACACATATATGGTTTGTAACTCCCCCTCTTTTGCAAGTTTGAGTGAAATATTTTCATGATGAAGTTTATGTTGTGTGGAATCATTTCATTACCGATACCTGATAGTATCTACGTCATACTACCCATTTCTTTAGACACTGAGTAAATTATTTCAATTTACAAGTCCCGTAACAACTTCAACATTTGTAGTGGCTGTAGGATAGCGCCTGTATGTATTTATAGGAATAAAATACTATTTTATACATATTAGGTCCAAACTTTCAAAAGTTGTTACTCACTAATAATGATTAGAAGAGCAATATCATCAAAAGTAACTTACATAGGAGAAAATGTCTAGTTAGTATTGGTTTACACAGATAATCTATGTACAATTCTGATAACACATAAGTCATAAAAGTAGGTACCGCTACCGTCAATTAGTTAAAAATCTGGGTACAACAAACCACTTACCTAATATTAGCTACTTATAGCTTACTTCATTACATTCTTCCCAAAATAATTTCATTACTTCATAAGACTGTAATTGGTTTATCCAACAGTGATTCTAACTTATTCCCATAGAAAGTAACTACATGAGAAATGCCGATTAACAGGTGCTGTCTGTATTGTTTTTTTAAAAGAAAATATGAGAGAATATAGAATTCAGTAATGTCTGCATCAAAGGGATGAATTTCGTGCTCATGGAAAAAATACCGCATGACCTATTCAAAATGGCATTGACAGGAAACGAATGCAACACTACCGTTGTCACAATCAAAATGGTAGGTCTTTTTACGGCATAACGCACTAAGCACTTTTCATACGGATCATTATGCAACAGCTTCTTGTTCAAATGAATAGTCATCATTTTGGCTATCTGAGACAGTGTGGTTTGGTAGATTAGTATTGATACCGGATGATGATTGAAGGTGAACTGAAAGTGGACCGCGACAGGATTCGAACCAGAGACCACCGGGTTTCCGGGTCGGTGCTCTACCAACTGAGCTACGAGGTGCGACTGATGACCACATTTTTATTTCACTTCAATCACCAAGGGTTTTTGCCCGACTACCATATAAATTCGTAACTCGTCACTACTGCTTGATCGTATATACACAGGTTACCAAGTCAGGACTTCTCATCCAAATCCAAATCTAACTGAATAAGAGAGGGAGAGTATCATTTTGATTATCTTTTGGCCATCTGAAATAGCCGTGGTTTATCAGATAAGTATTGATACTTGATGATTGGAGTGAAATAAAAATCTGGTCAGCGGTCGCACCTCGTGGCTCAGTTGGTAGAGCACCGGGCCGAAAACTTGGTGGTCTCCGGTTCGAATTCTTCTGCAGCCAAAATTTTCATTTCACCTCTGATCATTACATAATGTCAAAAGGAATAGTGTTAATATTATTTATTCATTAGAACACAAACGTGGTGCGGCAAGCGCACGGAGAAATGCACCACACAAAATTATATAAAACGTTTGTGGAGGCGTAAAGCGAAAAGAAATGGTAAAAATAAAACACAATAAGAAAAGGATGATTAGTAGGGCAGTCCGGTAAGGTACATCAGAGACAAAACCTTCATTACTTTGCACTAGCAGAAGATAGGACGAAGTTACAGCATGACCGCCACTGGTTTTGATTTTGAGCCACACCTAATGACGTCTCAAGCCACTGAGTTGTGTGGTCTTTGTCCCCACCCAAAGAGTCATAATGAACAGACAGATGCTAACCCGATACAACTATTCTTCATTCCACGGCATACACTGACCACCTGTCCGCTTTTTCCATTCAGTTCCAGGGTTACCAAATCATAAACTTCCTGGAGGCCTTTGGGACGACATGAGTAACACATGTCCAAGCCACCAAATCCGGTGTTTCAAGATGACTTCACTTATTGAACGACGATCTCCATCATGTCCAAACACAAGCTGTCATACCTCAAGATTACTTCTATGGTGTTACCACCGGATACAAGCAATTCTACGGAGACAACAATAATCGAACACACAGAGTCGTCGCACATCCTCAGCACACAGAGGCCGGTTTCACAAGTGTAGGGCAGAACTGCTGTCAACGAAACTTTGTAAACCCGACTTTTTACGTCAGATTTACGTCGCACCGACACCAAAGGTGGCCCAGATTGACGCATGCCACTCTGGCTTTCGATATGAGGTTGGGAATTTCACCACTCACACAACCACCCAAATACACGAATTTTTGACCACTTCCAACAGCTCACCATCGAGGGTGAGTGCAGGCACAGGCTTTATTCGCCATTTTCACGGCATTTTGCGAGTGCACCCAATTCTTGTCTACGCATTCTGGAGGATCGGTATTGGTATTTAGCTGCAATGTAAGGTGCAGCTAATTTACTGATGTCAACCTGCTCAGAACGATGATTCTGATGACCACCAAAGCGCAAGACGAGCGTAGCACACACTAAAGCATGATCAGAGTCCAGAAAAGTACTCCATATGGAGCGATAGTCCTGTATGTGCTAATACCATCGGTAGCTGATTGCAATATGATCTGTTTGAGTCCAGACCTGAGTGGCAAGAGGAGGACGCCAAGTAGCACAACAGTGATGGTCGTGCCAAAACTTGGTGCTGGCTAGAGATAGGTTGCGATCTGCGTAAAGTTGCAGAAGACGACCCCTGTTATCCGACCTGTGGCTAACTAGTCCCCATTTACCACCTAGACTACTCTCCTCTGAGTCTAGACGCCCGACCTGCGCACTCAAGTCCCCAGCTAGCAGTTCGATATCTGTCGAGCGCACTTGGTTGAGAAAGTCACTCAGCTGATGATAGGATTCATCCTTGATTGCATTCGGGCTTCAATCTGTCGGAGAATAAGCAGAGATTACAAAGAGACATCATTTCTCCTGCCAATTACTTCAGTTGGATCTTTTAGCCTAGAAGCATATAGAAAACTTTCGATGGAGATCCAGTCGAGTAGCGCAGCTTCGAGTTGATTGCCTAGTACAACACCGACACCGGTGAGTCCGGTTGCTGATACCACAAGGTCGCCGGAAAAGCGCACAAGCAACATACTTTCCGAGCTGACAGGTGGGGATCTAATCCGAAAGACTTCACCGGAATATCGTATACGGGTCTTTGAGATGCAGTATACATCAATGGCGAGGTTTTCCAGAGTCCTAGCCAAACCTGCTTGTTATTCAATCTGCATCAACGTGAAAACGTTGAAGGCGGCTAACTTAAACGGTATGCTTGGTTTCAGGATAGCTGTGCCAGACGGCATACCGGAGAACCGCTTTATGGGGGCAAGTGTTAATATAGCGGTCGGTTTATTTATCTTAAGATATCACAAGACTTACGGTGCACCAGGTGTAATACCATAGTAACAGAGATAAAATGAGTGATCCGTGATTGCTGGCGAACAAGTAGGAAATTTAAAACTACGTGATACTGTTAACAAGTGTAAAACCAACATTCTAGGTGAGATTGTATTATCAAGAGACGAGTCACACATGTAAAATTTTTTACAAACTCCTTGTTTCAGCTTAACTTATTGTAAATTACCTAGAAGTGGAGGTAGAACTAGGACATTAAACTTTGAAATAATGAGGACAGATTATGAGATCTAATAACCAATACACCGAAAGGTAGTTGTGTAAAACTTGAGACATAGTAGAAATAAACCCATATTATATTCTGAAATACCGAAATAAATTTGCTGTACAAACATTATCACGGAAAATATGAATATGACTGCCAATCATTCAACTGGCATATATATCATTGCAATGTAGGAGAAAAGTAATGTGTTGGTAAAAGTTAAACCTTCTGATCCACTGTACTCAACTTTTCTCTCAATCTTTTTTCTTGATCGTGCATGTACAAATCTTCCATAAGTTCAGTCAGTCCAACAGCTTGTTTCATAAATCTATGTAGATTATTTCTAGATTGTCCCAGACGATGATCTGTTAAACGATCTTGCGGGAAATTGTATGTTCGAATTTTTTCTGATCTATCCAGATTTCCTATATGAGATCGACGAATAGAATCAACTGTATGAGACTTTAATTTTAACTGACTATCACGAAGTCTAAAAATGGAAAAGAGAATACAATTTAAAAACAAACGTTAAATGAAAACAAAGTTTAGTTTAAGAAAACGAAATATAGTCCATGAATAACTCTTTTGTAATCAGATAACTCATCGAAACACAGAAATTGGTCGGTTCAGTTCGTAAATAGTGGTTGACTTGTTCATATGAAACGGCATGTATCGTTTGTGCTCGTTGTAGTGATAAATTGATTGACTGTGAGGAATATCAACTGCGAACAAATCTGAATATTCAGCGCTACACTGTATTGCATCTCAAAGAATTTAAAAATTTCTTCCATACTCGTAGAGATTCTCACTGGTGCAATCTGCATTTGGCTGAGTCAAAAGTACTTCACAGGTAAGGATACAGTAGTTGTACATAAAAAGTCCGTACAAATATTAATTGATTGATGGTGGTTTACATGAGAGCTGATGAAGATTGACTAATGATGATGCTTTCGTGAAAAGCTTGACGGTGACAGTTTTGAGACTGAATAGTGCTGAAAGTTAAAACTATTGAATAAGAAATTGCAAATCGTACTAATCAGTTGTTTAGAAAACTCAGTAATCCTTTGGTTTATATACGTATATAATGGAATCTTCTGATCAACTTCAAATAAACCCTAATTTCTTTACATAACCGGCATATTTAGGTTTATGTATAATATTCCTTTCTATTTGGTCTTCACTCTATTGTAGGTTACCTATTTCATAACATAAAGTATTACCAGAAGACAATAGCTGCAACTGATGATTCGACACCTCATTACTAAGACCATTTTGATTTCCAGACTGAACTACGTAAACTGAGATAAATATATGTTCAAATTATCCATAGTTTTAATGCAACTGAAAAGTATTCACTTATTTCATATGCTCTTAACATCTGTTTGAAATCATATGATAACTTCTCACTTTTACAGGAATTAATAACCACTTTAGTTAAGGTAAACTGAACTTTTGGAGAGGTTATTAGTGGTGATATTCTTCTAAATAAAAGAATACATTTACACTGATGTAAATGTACAACTCTAAACAGCCATTCACGTATGTGTAAATAAGTTACCGAATTGTGAGACTAAAATCATTTTGAACCATAAAGTGATTTAAAATAGTGCTTTTATTAGGCTACTGAAAGACATAGTATAGTACATAGTACATAGTATAGTATAGTACATAGTATAGTACATTCTAATGGCCATAATTAAATACCAAATAATAAGAACAAAGAGTAACAGGTGGATATCAAAATTCTGTCGAAATGCATAGTTTATCCTGAAGAGTCGAGGGAATAATTCAAACTCAAGGTCAAGCGTTTACTTATACTAATAAACTTTGCGCGAACTAAAATAAACAAAATATGTTGATGAATAGCAATGAAAAATTTTCAGTTGGATAGGTAAGCTTTTACAAAAGAGTGTAAAGAAAAAGCATGTACAATATTGAGTTGTTTTAACGAATTTTGTTTACAAGGAACTATGGAATTTTAAGCACCTATAGCTGACAAAATCAACAGTCATACTTAACCCCATATCAATGGCATACATGTTGCAGATGAGGACTTAAACAACTGGACGAATGGTTATAATAAACAGAGTAAAACAAGTCCACTTAAGTATTTACTGAAAATAAAACAAAAGTTAACTAAACTTAAAATAAATGAAAAATACATTTCAACTAACCTTTCTTTAAGCATGTCCAAAGCAAGCGTTTTATTAATATGCTGTTGCCGTTCACGTTGGCATCCTACAACGATACCAGTAGGCAAATGTGTTAAACGAACAGCACTTGTTGACTTGTTTAAATTCTGACCCCCAGGACCTGTTGGTTTATGAAACTCCCATTTTAACTCCGATTCAGAAATATCAATATCAACCTTTCAGAGAAAATATTAGTTAGTAGTATTAATAATTGTAAAAAATAATTAGTAAGACATCAATGTGAAACGACATACTTTTATTGCTCATCAGATATTTCTTTGAAGAAACCAGGGAAAACAAGCAACAAATTATGCTACTCAGTATTATTGTTCATATGATGCTGTCACTGTTATCCATACAATAAAAAAAGCTATCTCCTAAAAAACAGTATGGGCGTAAGTAAACACAATGCCTTAGAACCACTAAACGAGTGATTAGAACAATTAGCATTAAAGTTGTGTATTGGATTCACGTAATTACTCAGTCATTTTTATATTAACGCTTTGCTTTAGCTAATTGGTAGGTAGCGAAGATAGACATGTGAAGCACTACCAAGAACAATTCACATAGATGAAACTTATAAACACCTTGAAGCAATTAATCCTTTTTATGAATTTGGATAATGTAATTAGAAGACGTACATTATCTGAAAAATGTGATGTATTTGCGCTATACATTTCGAACAATCTGATAAACAATTTGATAAGGGTCACAAGATTGATATTAAAACAGCCTTTACAATTTTGTATAGAAACGCTCAGAGGCGTATACTTAAGTTTGTTGAGGCGCTAGCCATAAACAAATTTAACCCCCCTGCCTCAAATGTGTGTCCAAAAACAGTTTGTCCTTACGCTAAGCCTACCCTGGTAATGCTTATTTTATCGTATTACCGAGGTTGTCTTCAAATCTTATCTTTTTTCCTCTCATCATCTTTCCTATTATTAAATCCCTTTATATCATATTTGTTCTTCCCCACTTTCAGTTGCCTTAACAAGTATATGTGTGATGAGATCGTTGGAAATGTATAGCGCGAATACATCACATTTCCAGGTAATCTACGTCTTTTAATTATATATGATTATTGTTTGTCCCTTGGGTTCCCAGTGGAACATAGGGATTTAGTAGCATGTCGTTATTTCACTCTAATCTCTGCAGTCTTTTGAACCTGGCTCCACGACTGCCGATAAGCTATCATTGCTTCCTTACTCGATCTCCTCCATGTCACCCTCGGACGCCCAACTCGTCGTTTCCCATCTGGGTCCTACTCGACGGTCTGGCCTGGAGCGTGATGTCCCCAATCGGTCTTCTCAGTATATGTCCAATCCTTCTCCACTTCCTTCTGCATATTTGTTGGGCGATGGGTTCTGGGTTGCTTCACTATCAGCCAGAACTCCTTGTTGCTTATTCTTTCTGGCCATCTGATCTTCAGTATCGAGCGTAGACAGCTGTTGATGAATGTCTGTAGTTTGTTGGAAATGCTTTTCGTAACGCGCCAAGTTTCTGAACCATATAGGAGCACTGACTTGACATTCGTGTTGAAAATCCGGATCTTGTCTTTTAATTACATCATCCACATTTATACGCAATTATCATTTAGTTATTTCTCATCAAAATTACTAGAAAACTTGTTTTCTACATGACAGCTATTAGTATAACTTCTTTTTGCGACACAGGTTTACCTCTAGTGTAGTTGATGACCTACCAGAAACTTTATAACATGTCAATAAAAAGGTTATTAAGAACCAGGAGGCCAAAAGTCAAAGATAATAATATACACCCATTTACAAGTCTGGATCAAAGGAGAAATGCAATCCTCTTTTTACCGTATAGCAACACTAGTGTCATTAAATGATAAATGTCTGGAATATTTATTAGAAAAAAGTGATTCAGCTATTATCCGAAAGCCAATCGTGTTTATTTTAACCTCAGAAATTTCATCCCGATTATCAATTAAAGTGGAAAAAAATTAACGATTCGAAAATTAACCACAGGCTTATATAGTGAACAGTGAGGCATAATTTTATGTTGGCGAATTATACCAGTGACTCTTACAAGCCACACTAGGTGAATTCGATACGAACTTGTGAACTGTTCATTTTACGTTCAACGCTTAAACAATTGGTTTCTAACTACACAAATAAGAGGAAAACAGCTGATGAACAATTGATATACCATGGACAATTGCCTCACCATTTCGTTCAAAAACACTATAAACATGTAATCAATGAGAATATTGGGGTGCAACAAAAGGCATTCAGTTATTAACACAAGCGAATGAATTAAAAACGTGTACCAATGATAAGAGACAACTGATAGTTCGTTTTACTTGAACGAATCACTGTAACTAAGTAGCTTAGTAGAAAAAAAATTCATAACGTTTAAACTGATGAATGTTGTGTAATACAATTGATTGTCATGAAGCTATATCCAGCTAATGTACTCAGTGCATTAGATTAGCCATTGCTACTCAAAATCACCATTCAATCTAAATTCACATATGATAAAGAAAAATTCTGATGATAAGTAAACGTTACGGGGTCTTGTAGTTATAATACATTTCAAGTCAGGATACATACGCAGCTATCGCTAAGTTGCTCACCACAAATGACACACAGTCAGATGTATGTACGGCTTCGTTTACATTTCCAGAAAAATGCTTAGTAGACACTGGCAATTGTTAGAAAAACTTATTTGAGATTAGTTCAAAACCTTACTTCATTATTATTATTATTATCATTACAGTCAATCTCGATAATCTTAAATCCAAGAAGTCATCAGAATGACTCCTGTAATTAGACAATAGAATGAGCATTCTACTAACTTCAATTTTATTGCTACTGAATAAAAGAAATTAATAGATTGATACAGACAATAGAACAATACGACCGCCTACAATACATGTGGATTGCGCAGTGAAAAACTTAAGTATATAGTATTTTTGATTTAGATTCTGCGATCACAATAGTGTAGAATAGGACTTGAGCAATTTGTTAGTTATTTCACACAGAGGAACAATATTGCTTAGTGGATAAATTTCCGAGTATAATTTACTGTACACAGACATTTGACATAACTTTAAACAATAAGTTAAGTTTATGAAGTTATCCAGTAAATAATACTGTTTCACTGCATGAAATATCCAACATGATCTTAAAAATAGTTTACAAATTTGTATCTGATCACTTTGCTGCAATTCAAAGTTCAGAAATTAGGAAGTATTAATTATCTTCACAATTATTTAACGGTTAAGTAATGTGCAGTTAAATAATGAACTCTGAATTCACCCAGAAACCCAGGTTCCTAATTTGAAGGATGAGAATGGACGATGAAATTTCGCATTGTGTAAATTCACCCCGACAGTTAACTAACTGAACACTTCTGTTCGTTATGCTACAGTAAAGTTTGGGGAGTATGTAAGTTAGCCACAAAAGCGAAGACGTTGAGACACTAAAAAATCAATAAAGTATGTCTGCATCAAATTCAATGGAGGCTTGTCGAGGTGGATAGTTTCCATGATTTATTGGCAGGTGGTCGCAGAAGACTGTCTCTGTTGTTATAACAAAACAGTCTCAATTTATCGAGTTAAAATACCTTCACAGTTTAATTAAAAGAAAGATCCTGATAAGTATTTAGTCATCCTTTTGTATTTGTCTCGAAAATTCAGCTAGACGTTTGATCATTGGGTCCTAAGTCTTGCAGCACCATATCAATGTCTAACAGACTTAACAGTGAAGCGTAATTTAAAAACCTAATAAATCAGACTTTTGATTTTGTTTTTCAATCACCACAAGGATTCTAACATTCCAAATCCATCATTTTTACTGTTGTTACCAGTTCAAATATTTACAACCTACACCCTAGTCATTTTCTGATAGGGGGTCATACTGAACAGCTTAAGTTACTGAAAAACAACAATAAAAGATCCTTAAATAGTCAGGACAAAGGGGAGTATGTTGTTTTGATGGATCGCCAGGAATGTGTTGACAAATTGTTGTTGATTCTCTCCGACAAGCTCGACAAACCTGAAGGTGGGATGAAAAAAACAACACATACAGAACCAATTCATACTTATCCTGAAAAACATGAAAAATAATGTACTCGTTTTCTCCGATTAATATGAATGTATCCAACCAGTTGGTTTAATAATTCCACTTCTGTATCGATTGCTGGAAATATATAAAGGAGGTTTACCCCTTTCTTCGACCTCGGATGCTAGATTATTCAAATCATCGCATCATCAAATGGTTAGCTAAAATACTGGAACCTGTTATATCGCAAGTGTTCTGTTATTCTATTTATGATACACTCCAGTTTACTGATGATATTAAGCATGTTGACACTCTTGGTAAAGTCATTTTCACTAGATGTCACTAAATTGTTCCCCAGTGAATCACTAACTGAAACTAAGTTATGCATGCAACTACATCAATCCAAGTAATTAAGAAGTGGGAATTCCAACAAATTACCCAAAATGGCTGCTAATGGATGAGATGTACACTGAATGCCCAATTCGGTTTCGACAGCTAGGTCTACAAGTGAAAAGGTGGGATCGCAACAGGATTTCCATTATAACCACTGATAGCAGATTGTTATGTGTTGAAAGTGGAAAAGCCTAAGCTGAGTCAAATTCCTAATCGTTTGATACCTATACATATTTGACAAGCATATTGATGTGCACGACATCTTTCACCCGTTACATAATTTTTGTTCAGTACTGAAGTTCACTATATAAAAGGAATTAGAATCAGATATTCCTTTTCTTGATGTTTCTTACGTGACGCAGCAATGGGAAGCTAAGAAGACCCATCTACAGAGAAAGCAAATGATGTGGAGAACTTACTAACTTCCACAGTTAGGTGCCAATTATCAAAAGAATAAACCGCATTTAGTCGCTCTGCGATCGAGAGCGAAATGAAGGGATTATTCAGTGAGGAAAATTTTCTATTTATGAAAATGCCATTTTCTAAAGCTGTCCAATAATATATATATATATATATATATATATATATATATATATATATATATATATATATATATATATATATATATCACAGACATATAACAGACTATTCCTAAACAACTGAGTACAGCTGCATCATCAGAGAAGTTTTACAAGCGAAAAAGTAGGAAGATGTCGTATAACGACCCATTAAATAATGCAAATATTAAGAAAGGTAAGAAGTTTGATAAGGTAAAAATTGTTAGCAGATGTGAAATACAATGGTTCAGTGTCCTTTTGACCGACATTGAGATAAAGAAAGAAACAAGGGTTATAATGGTGATAACAGTAAACTGACTAATTATTATGAAATCAAAGAAAAGGGAAGGAAAACATGAGGAAGGGTTAAAGCAGTGGCAAGATGAGCGATTGAGCATACTTCTGCATGAGATTAAGCTTGAATTAGTGAATTCCAAGTGCTTCTGTTGAGCAGAAGTTTTGAAAGTTCATTACTAATGAATCGTCCCTTTTGACTTTACAAATAACACTTAAGGACTCTGATGGAGTTAAGCGTCCAGAGTTGACCAAATGTTGAAGAACAGGATTGGTAGCTGATTAACATACTTCCCTTGACAACCATGTAGGATAGTGTTTAGAGAAACATTAGAAAAGTGTGCGCTTTGTGCGGGATATATGACTGTTTCCACAGGACCAAGTAAACTTGCAAACATACACTGAAATGGTTCAGAGCAGTAGCATGTATTTGGCACACCCTGGAACTATTTACCGACCGAAGAAGCTGGTTTGTAGCTTGGTAAAGGAAAATGTCCTCAGCGATTTGGATAGTCGACTCCTCAGGATGTTCGCTGTCATGTAACTTTTAAATCAATATCCATAAATAAAGTCTTCTTTAGGGCTGTGAGTACTTGCTTCGTATTCTGTTTGGATTCCAAGTTTTTCCAGTGAATCTAGATAGATATCCATTTCGTATGAGAACTTATCGGAGTTGGTCCAACTTATAGTTGATGGTGTCAATCGTGTAAATTCTTGAACACACAGAATGAATTAGATTTCCCTTTCTTCTGAGAGACGTCCAGTACGAAAGTCATGTATTGTCCATTCCATGTCAGCTTCTTGTAGATCAATCTCTGGAGGGAACCATCTGGTCTTCGTTTTAATTAGGCACTCATAAAATGGAATTCTGAGTCCTCTTCAAATTCTCTTGTGAAATTGACATATGGACTTATTGGTTATAGGTTCAATGTATGCATTTTTATCATATGATAAATATGTCATCCACATATCTCTTACATAGATAAAAATTATCAACTGTCGAGTGAGTTACATTATTTTGTAAGTTGGTCAAACTGCCAGCAGCAGAATACCGTCAAATATAGCTTCTTTTCTTCACGAATACAAAAAATATTTGTAGCACATATTGTACAGAAGTTGAACTTGATTTGTCAAGAGGTACACTTGCTAAAAACGGTTACCCTAGCCAACTCGTTGATAAAAATATACGAGACGGGTATGTGAAACCAGACATCAGTCTAATTTCTAAAAAGACTTGGTTCCTGAATTCAGAATTAAAAGGTGATGCAGCATTAATCCTTGATAAAAATCATCTCTCAAGATCAACTAGCAGAATATTCTTTGAAGATATATATATATATATATATACTAATGTAAATAAATCCGTTGGACGTCATTGTATTGGAGACAATTACGTGAACCCCTCACTAACTGGTTAGGAAATAACACTGTGACTAGTATTACAACGGTTTCTTGATTGCATCCAATAGTAAAATGCTACAGTAAAGCATACGTAAATATCTTCGTAATATGCTGGCTGGAAACGTTCAATATGACGACTTTAGCCGGTTAGCTTAACCTGATAATTTATTTCTATAAAGTCCTTGATTCTCAGTATAAATAGACTAGGGAAAAAATTATTTACTGGGATCGGGAGAATTTAATAAAATTGTCAATTAGAAACATTCATCATTTTCTTTCCCAGTGGTGCAGTCACATTTGCTCAAATAAATGACTGAAAATAATTTGTCTATTTATGTTTTATAGAATTAATTAGTCTTACCCCACAGGGCTTAGAGACAACATAACTGCAGATGAATATCAAATTGATGCCTTGGTTAATTGTAGTGCAATGAGAATCTTGAACAAACGTAGATGACATCTTGGTTAGGATCTAACACACTAGTGTCTCAAGCTAAAACATACTTGGCTGGTAATCCTAAGACTGCTGTTCAACCGTATTACAGGAATAATATGCACTAGGTATGCATCATTTGGGATTTCATAACTAAAGGAGCATCAAAATAAAGTAATGTAATACGATACCAAGCCGATAATCAGTATACTTCATACTGAGAACTTGAATTCCTCAATGTAGACGGTAGATTATTTACATCAGCAAGTTCCAGTGGTGTCCAGATTAAGCTGCTTTTTCTGACCTAGTGCTACATCAGGTATATTTCATGAAAAGTATCAAAAAAGTTATAGAATTCAAATTTTGACATTATAGCTTGTAATTTTCCATAGCTGATTGGATCCAACAGGCCGGTCACAATTCGCTTGTGGGCTCCTGAGTAAATACCTTAGTATTGCCAGTAGCTTCAATCTGATAGCATTAACGGATAGTGAGTAGCAACAGAATCCAGGGCGTACGTTTCCTCCAGTTGGATGTACGCACCTCCCGGAGAGAGATGATGTTCCCACTGAGACTTGAACCGAGAACCCAAGTATTCACCCAACAGGCCATATATGCTAATAGCGGCTGACCATTTTTATTGAATCAGCGATGATAAATCACAAGCTATAACATCAAACTTAGGATCTCCACGTAAAATTGGTTTTCATGACTTAATAGGTTAGTAGATAAGGATGAAGCACTTGAAGCGATGAGTTCTACGTTACAGGCTCAATCGGGAAAAAATCACTCACTGAGAGACAGGTACGTCAGGAAAAAGGTCCTAAACAGGACGAAAGGCGCGTTCTGATTTTCACTAGGATACCTAAGTGTCGTAAAGGTTCGATTTAAAACGCCTTATTTCAAAATACTTACGTCCCCATACTTCGGTTGTATAGATACGGCTACCGTACTAGTATGGATCTTATTCTGACTGCTAGTTACAGGAACTCGTTGAACCCGATGAACACCAGCCTCCCATTTTAACTGACCATAAGCACCAAGTGAGAGTATACCAGAATCTCCAGTGGGATTACCTTCAATTTCAACACGAACATATGAAAGAGATTTTTCATTCTGAGATGGGCCACATTCCTCAGTTGACATAACAGTTTCCTGAAGAATTGAAAAAGACCAGTTTCGTTGTATTGCAAGAGAATGATACATGTTTAGTAAATCATGAGCAAACAATCCGGCTTCTCTGCCACCAGCCCCAGCAAATAGTTCCATGACAAGACATGGTTCCAAATCATGTTCATTTATTGGAAGGAGAAAATGAAGAAGCTGAAAAAATTGTGTTGAAACTTTACATTCAAAAAATTGAAATTTTACAGTCTAATAGACATAGTGCGAAAAAATATCAAAATTTAATGTAACTTATTGACATTTATATGTGGTAGGTTATGGGGAGCACTGATCGAGTAACAGCTTACGATACTGCAGCCGTGCCTAGACTAGAATTTAGTAAAAAAGAACTTGAACCCACGATCTAATTCTTGAAACCTAGGTGTCTACGCATACCAGCAATATTTCCACTAAGAGTAGCAATGAGGTATATATATATATATATATATATATATAAACTAAACATCATTTCACAACAGAAAGACATTGTGTACATATTCAGACGAAGACAGCTCGCAAACTTCCGACAGGATAAATACTTTACAGATATGATTATGGTATAATCAATGTAGTTCAGCAATTCGAATTCTCACCATATGGGATTAAAGTGTTCTATAACAAATAGATATCAGACGGTGTAATAAGTATAACCTTGGAGTTCTTATTCGACAGGTTGCGCATAAAGAGGTGGAACCAAGCAATTAAGATAATAACTATTATTATAAGAATATATAGTCTTGGCATGTTTTGGAAAGCATTATACGTAAAGCTGTATTCTTATAATGACTAAATCAGACTCAGTGCTCGATTTTTTCTAGAACATTCGTAACAACTATGTTCTGGATAACCATAAGTTGGGCGTCCGAAGGTGACATGGAGGAGATTGTATGAGGAAGAAATGAAAGCTTATGGGTAGTCGTGGAGCCAGGTTCAAAAGACTGCAAAGAACAGAGTGGAATGGAGACGTGCTACTGAATCCCTATGTTCCACTGGGAACCCAAGGGACAAATAATAACAATAATGTTCTGGATACTTATTATCTTCATGACTGTTATTTCTTTTTAAAAGAAGTTCTGAGCTGTAGTTATTGTCAGTCAAGCATTTATGATAGCAAACAATTCGCTGGAAACAGCCCTGTCTACACAGGACTGAGTTGAGGTTTAAAACTGAGAAACGTATTTTGTTTAGCCCCTTATTTTTCGCTTCTGTTTATTATTTTCACTCGTTTTTTTACTGTATTATGGAGTATGACAAAGACGAATAATGTTTATCAACTTGTAAAGTGTTACAAGCAAAGAATTACAAGAGAGGATTTAATTATGCATAGGTGATAAAAAATTCTATCCCTGAATGTACTTTTTAGCATTTACCGGAAAGTTATATCTCGCTAAAAATATTTTTAGCACCTCTTAGCCGTTTTAATGTTTAACACTTATTCCTTAACTAAATGTAGATAATTTATTTTTAAACCTGACCTAGTTTAAATAAAAAGTGAACAACAATGCTAGTTGACAGACTACCACAAATGTCATTCAGCCCAGTTTACAACTAGTCAAATAGGACCCACGCAGACACAGATGTTTTAGCAATCCTAGACTAATAATGTATGAGACTTCCTCTAACGTTAAGTAATTATTAAGTAGTAAAATCATCGGCTAAGTTTAGTATTACGAAAATAAATTACACCCACAAGATGTGAAGAAAATATCATACTGAACTGTGAATAAAAAATGATAAGGTTAACGTAACACACACTATCAACTAACAAAACAATGCAGCCTACACACTCATGATCGGAAACGCTCCCCTAGGTAGAAGATTCACGTTACTATCGTAAGTTTGATTTATGGCTGTTTCCAAAAACATAGCAGTTATGAAAATGGAAAGACGGTGAAATAAAGCAACCATGTTTAACTACACCAAAAGCTTAAAAGGCTGAAGGTTGGTAGTGTGCTTTTCTCCTACCTTAGGTGTTTCTGCACATAGCTTCCAATATACTGATGAATTTAAGAATAGCCGTATCTGTAAGACAATTTTGAAGTAGTATTGTTTGACCAGTTGGATTTAGATATAACATTAAAAGAAATGTACCGGCCGCCCGTAATAGACACAAGTAGTTCAAACCACTGATGAAATGTGGGACCACTAATGGGAAAAACTTGACCTGCTCTCCTGTATAACCTATACAGTTTAACAATGGTCCATATTTTAAATTTTGATGTACACATTCAGGACGTTTACGTAGGTTGCTATCGATTTTACTCACTATTCATACATTCTTGCAAATGCAAAAAAAAATACAAGATACACTCATATAAGGACTGGTCGAGACCCTCAGGTTTAGCTTGTTAAGTAAAGAATCCTGCATCGGTACAGTGAATTCCTTAATTTCGCAACTGAGAAAAAGTCCTACTTAACTGAAGGACTTTCTTGAGTCCGAAGCAAAAACGTTTTTTTCCTGTTCTACATCTGCCCATGTTGAAAACCACAAGCTTAAGTGGAAAGCATATTTGCTGATGAACTAAGGTAATTTCGTCCTGAAAAACAGGTTAAGAAACACTCAAGAATTGGGAAGATTTAGATAGATGATTAAAAGCTATGGTAATCTGGATGAAACTGTACTAAAAGGATGGAACCAAAACCGTTAAATCATATTTTTGATTCAAAAAACAACACAACAAGGTCAGATGTATGACATACTGTGAAGTTGATAATCAGTACAAGTTTATTCACTCCTTCAGTATTGTGCTAGCCAACCAAACTACTGAGCAGAAAACTCAAGTTGAAACTGTGCCTACCTAACCAAGTATCACATAATTGTTTTTGCATTTTGGACATACACGTTTTGTCAACTGTTACACTAAAACTTATTTCATCCTCATATAACATAATTGTGCAACCTGAAAAGAAGTCGAATTCAAACCCTTTAAACAGGTACACAAGTCTCCTGAAATAAGGTAACAGTAGACACAAAATGCACTCACTATGTAATAGAAAAGATTAAGAAAGATCAGTGAAAACTAGAAGCAAAAATAAACTAGTACCTTTTTTTCCAATGCTTGACGCTGAAGACTTCTTTGGTGGCGTTCCAACTCGACAATAGATTTTAGATCATTTAAATCTTCAGAATCGACAATATCTAAGAATTATTTACACATAAGAGGATTCAGAGAAAAGTCAAATTATGATCATAAGAACGTATCAACAAACAGATGAGAAATCTATCTAATTATTTACAGTAGCATAATTTAGCTACATGTGAGTTTTCAGTCACGTAGCTAAAATTTCATTAGCAAGGTATCTGTCTAAAGCATCCATTTAAGACCACCTACTGTTATCTTTTTTATGGGATCTTATTTGATGTTCCAATTTTTCTGTTGACATCATCCCTCTTTTAATATGAAGAGTCACCAATTACACTAATGCTACGCCATACATTCTTCTCTGGTGTTTGACAGTGTTAAGCATTGCATACAGAAAAAAGTTCTTTTTCCCGAAAACAAAATCATATTAATTATTTTTAAAACTTACAACAACTGCATAATGTAAATAATCATATGATTTTGATAGAATTTTCAGCTATTTTTGATGTTATGAACTTCTACTGTTTTTGTCAAATACTGATCGAAATTACCTTCAGTAAACTAACGAATACCTGAACTCCTATTATGATTTTTAAATTTGGTTATTGTAGTTTGAACGCGACGGATGAAAAAGTGACAAAATAAAACGATGATATGTTATTCCACTTGTACCTGAAAAATTATTAAATTTTCAAAATCTATGGCTAAACTTATCGCTATTGTTTGGCGTTATCCAAACTAAAAAAAACCTAACAATTAACAACCAGATATAAAAATGAACTGCATTCTAACGATTGGTTACGTAAATGAATGTCAACTTTGGGCGATATATATATATATATATATATATATATATATATATATATATATATATATATGGAGAGAGAAACTTTTCATGTGGAAGTGTTTTCATCAAAATAGAAAACACAAGATTTGAAGAACAAAATGAACCCAATGAAAAACCTTGTAGTGTATAAAGACAAAAGTAAGTTAGTAATTTCACACTATGAAATGTAAAGTAGAAACTTAACTTTACACTCATGTGGTGGTTTTCGGACTTGTTAACGAGTGACAGCTAGTGTGTTAATCAGCCAAATCTCAATTGAAACCAAAGTTTGAGACCGTAACCTGTTGACTGAGAACCAAGAATTTAAACTTAAGGGTTACAACAGACGAAAAGCCGAAATAAAACGAGTCCTTTGTACTTTGGAACTATCCTTTTGGTGTAATGATTATGATGGAAAAGATAGGTTATGTGAATTTCTTAAAGTAGTGGAGTTAGTGAACTCACTTTAAGCAGTATAACTTCTCTCCCGAAAAAATATATGCTAGTCATAAAATCTCTAATAAAATGAAAGTCAACAGGTGAAGCAAATTTTGCTACCAAATTACTCACAGTAATTTCCAAATAAACTAAGTCTTTATTTCAATCTATTCAATCATTGTATTCTGTCCCATGCGAATATCAGAGACTCATTTACTCAACTGTTTCGCATAGAAAACTTGATATAACCAGCAAAATGATATTTTTGACATTAAAACCTCCTGTCAATTAAATCATTTAGGATAACTGCCTTGATAACATTGTGCAATTTATTTGTTTCATGAACAGACAGGCATTATATCAAAAATAAAGAAATAATGAAGTGAATTCACCGTGAAATAGTTATAGATTTAGCTTAACACTACGGCTATTAATGAATCAGTTAGATTGATTATCAAACTCAGTATTAGAAATTGGTATATTACCTGCAACCAGTTTTTCAACTTCTTTATCAGCTTCAAGAAGAATATCTAGCTCTTCTATTACGTCTACTATTGGTCTTAACTCCTTCCAACTCGCGGATAAAGATAAACTGAGAACGATAACATGAAGAAAACATTATATCTTTATTGACGACAACTGTCTAGTAGCACAGAAAAATGTCATTACAAATAAACTTCCGAGTTTACAGGAAATAAAAAATTTGAAGATGTTTTTAACTAGAAATCTGGTAGAAGTGGAGCGACGTTTTAACGTTCTGAGTCTTTCCGAAATTATTTCCAGTAATTTTGAAGAGTAAGTTGAGATTTGTTGAGTATAGCAACTGCTGATGATCTTAACTTAGTGATTCAACAACAAAATATGGTTCAAATTCAACAGTTAGTTTACAGATTTCCCTACAGAATTCGATGTGGACTGCTGAAAACTTCCAAACTGTCGTCGATTTCCAGTGGTGCCTCCAATTCTAGATCCTATTGCTGGAAACCACATTGAGATTTTTATTCATGGTAATTGCACTTTTAACAGTTGGTAAAGAAAACACTATATCACTTGTTTTCTGCTGCTCAGCGGTCGAGGTAATCAACTGCTAAACATGAGTGCGATACACAATACATTTATCGAAGTAGTATCATTAGCCCTCGCATGGTGTGTAAGGACACAAAGGTGTACCGGATATGCATTATTATTATTATTATTTATCGGAACAATACGTTTAAAAACTTCAGTTACTATTTTCACGAAAAGATATGTTTTAAAAAGCTGGAACGATATACAACATGCTCCATCGTTTTCGTCAGTAAACTATCCAGGAAATAGGTCCCATTATTAGATTTAATCTATGCAACTGATGGATGAAACTAACAACGCGCTTCACACAACTTTCAAAATCGCACAAGTATCGCTTGTAAAAGAAGTGGTTGAATACCGCAACGGGGAGACATCGAAATTATGCCGTAAGTATCACTTTTCAAATATATTGAAATATATTTAATATGCAACTAACATTGCTTTTCTATGTACTGTCACAATGGTGAACATAACGGTGAATAAACATAGTTGGTTTTAGATACAGACAGACTAATAAAGAAAACAAACCCCATATATGAATGGCAAAACAAGTGGTCAGACACAAATAATTACTTTGTTTGGTAGTTCTTCTCATTTTACTTGAAACACTTCTCTGAAGCTTGAAAAAATATCAAGCGAAAGTGACACCAATTACTTAAGTTATATGAAGATGTAATGGAATGTACTGTACACTCGACAAGACGACAATTAGTCAAGAAAATAACACGAATTATTTACTGAAGAGCGAACACAGATGAAATCAACATAGAACTTAGCATACACGTGCATCAGTTCAAGTTGCCGCACTTTACAGTAGTATGCGATGAACAAGTGGAGAGAAAAAGACTGATATCAGAGTGGACAAAGGCGTATGGGAGAAAAAGGAATTTAGAAATCTCAGTTGGTGAAAATATCCGAACTTCCGTTGTAACCGATTTTCAGCCATATCACCAAGTCTCCAACCACTGATTTCTATTATCTCGATGACCTAAGTCAAACAGACTACACCAGGCTAAACGCCTCGGACCAACAGTCACAGACTTCATGAACCGGTGCCACGTCTTAATCTTATCACACTGAGTTGTCTTTCAACCCAATCCTACTTCGGCTAACATTACCAGTCGAGGTAAGCGATCGGTCAGCATGCAGAATACGTGTTCACAACCTCATCGATACCCCTTTTCTTCCTTGCCCAGTACCCTCCGCCTAACCTCAAGAGTGCTCACAAGGTGATTTCACCATAAGCAAGCGATATTACGAAGACATCCGTGATCGAAAGCCTGTAGCCTCTTCTTATCTTTTGTTTTCAATGACTACGTCTCAGAGTCGTAAAATAGGACAGAGTGTACTGTGGTACAGTGTACTCACCCTTCAGTATGTGGTCAGATATTTTGCCAGCCGGTGCCAGAGATGACGCAAGTTGGCATATGTCAGGTAAGCCTTTTGTTTTTGAAGTAAGTTGTCATCTACAATCAATTCGTTTGGGGTAGTGTAACTCGCAAAGTAAATGAAGGGGTCAGCACATCTTAATACTTCACTCCTTATTTGCAAGTCAGTCATGACAGTTATCTGAAAGTTCCGAAACGCATGAAAAACATACTTAGTTTTCTGCTTAAGATATTCATAAGACCTTGTATTTTGAGAATGTCATCCACAAGCAGGACGATATCATCTGCATACTCCGAGTCAATCAGATGCTCCCCTGGGAGTAGATCCATCCCTTTTAAGTCAGAAGTGCCTACGGTTATATGCATTAATACATTTATAACGAAGTTAAACAGGAACGGTGACAAGCAAACATACAGCTCACTCTTACGTTAATAGTGAAGTATACCACGCCTGGACAAGATATTTACCGACTGAACTAATCCAGTAAATCAGTAAAATAGAGAGACGTTGCCGAAAGGAAACCATAGTTAAGAGAACTTAACGGATAAGTAAACTAAATACTTTTCGTTTGCCTGTCACATCTAATGCACATGACAACCTAGACGACACGGAAAGCTACTACACCGTGGTGAGATTTATCGGTCCAATTGCTTCAGCCGAATTTACTAGCAAGCAAGCTTTCGCATAATTCAGTTGGTCATCGTTGAACAACCAAAAAATATCTTTGACTTCTACTTAATATACGTAAGACATTTTGTCTATAAGGTGAAGTTATCGCCAAATATCTTTCTGACAATTCAAAATGTTAGTGGTAGGATGCAACTAAATACACTAAACCACAACAACATAATCCTTAACATATGATCTTAAGGTTGCGTGGTAAATACAAATGCCCAATATTATGTATTTTGTTACGATTTTTGCGAATCAAGATGCGTTTTGAGGGTAACTCACTCTAGAAGTAGGAAGTATCTCAAGTGACTCTTCCCAAGGAACTGAAGCTGATAGATTTGCCACAACTGGTTGAACTTTACAAGCTAACCACGTTAAAGTCAATCAGTTATTCTTGGTGATCAATCAACTAACCAGATATTATCAATATTGAACCTAGCACTATTGTGTAACAATCCAAATCCACACATTTCACATCAACGCTGAAAGAGATGGTAAGAGAGACAGACAGATCGTAGAACCTAGTAAAGTGCATCAGTTCAAGTCTCTACACTTCACAGCAGCATGCACAAAAGATGAATAGCAACAAAATAAATCAAAGTTGACAAAAGTGTATGATTTCAAGTTTGGGTCCATGTGACAATCTAAATCGGCAGTTTGAAACCTTAGGTGGTTTGATTCAGAATCGACCATAGTGCTTTGGATGAATTTACATAATATCTTAATTCTAATCATTATTGTTGTTATATTCCTTCTTGTTTTCTTTTCCAGACTTTTTACTGTTGACTACTTCATAAAGTTCCCTTTTTAATCTATGTTGATGCGCTGATGAAGTGTAGTAATTCGAGCTCTCACACAGTATTGCCATGTCCCATGTTGATAAGGACTGTCCAGTAAGTGTATGAGGGAGAGTGGAAATATACGAAGACAAGTGGGAATACTCAAGATTTCGAAGGCAGAAAAGTGGATAATCTTGTGCCATTGCGACCAATCTTGAGTACTGTCACCAATAGACACTAGCCAATGATTGTTGTCACAAAGACCCCAGCAGTTAGACAGTCTACAGCTACTTATACGACTCAGACCAACAGTGAAAGACTTCGTGGACTGATGCTATATTTTAGTTTTGCTGCCACTAGCCTTTTTCTACCCAACGCCTACTTCACCTAAAATTTCGAAACAGCGGATGTTGACTAGGTCTGTGTAACAAATGTTTCAGCTATCTGGGTCGATGAAGCCTCACAATCTCACCAACGGACTTTCTTCTCCTGAAACTCAATGTTTGAATCCCGAGCTACTGATAGGCTTCGAAGGCGAGTGACAAAACACCTGAAGCCTGCTCACGTCTGTTGCTTTTAAGTCATGTTTTACAGCCATAAAGCAGAACAGAGCGAACTGCAGAGGAGTGTAACTGACTTTCAATAGACAATCAGATGTCACAATGGCGCTATAAATAGCGTTAGTTGGTAGCAAACAACGGGGCCTTTGTATCCGCACAAAGACTTCATTGGTCCCTCAACTAACAGAGCTAACCTGACTTCCTGGGAAAGTGAAGTAGTCTACGCACTCAACCGTTTCACTCCTTACGGTAAAACAAGGCACCAGCAACGACCACCCCTGGAGTAACAACTTGCGTTTGGGTAGGGAGTAATACATCCCAAATACCCTCCAACTGATGCTCAAGGTGCCCGGTAGATTCTGCATCTTTTCAGCACCACTTAACAGCACCATAGCATGTATGCTCTAGATCTACTCAGGAGTCACCTGTAACAACGTTAATCTGAAATGACCATCTGAGTGCTGCCAGATCTACATCATTCGTTTGCATGTTAAAGTTGTCTAATCTTTTGGTAGAAGCATTAATTGCTGGCATCTGAATTTGCAAGCTATACTTTCATGGGGAAAATAAGTGCCTGAATACAGATTTTGGACAACGGTAAACTTATACGCATGAATACGATTACGCGAAGGTGCACAACTTGCCTGTTTACCAAACGAAACTTAAAAAACTGCCTACTGACAAAAAACGTTATGCAATTATACAAGTTTTGCACTGATACAAATTACGACAAAACTAAGAGTCATACAGCATTCGACTTACATATCACCGTCGCTCCCGCCAGAAGTCATGAGTTTACTGACATTTTCATATTTTGATATTGTATTTTTCTTAAAGGCATCAAATCGCTCCCTTAAATCTTCGGGCAACCGCGATAATGTGGTCAGAAAGCGAGAAACTGATCTTTGTGAGTGATAAAAACGCCAGGGATGTATACGAACGCAAAACTTCGGTGCCTGCATGCCTATCAAGAAAAAAGTGAAGTCTACAAACATCCATGCATTTTCGTGAGAATATAAGTCAGCACAAAAAGGTGTGTATACTATTTATTAAACACAAGTAAGGATTTCTATCTCAATTTTACGCCCTCCAGTGTTTGCTTTCTTTGATGATAAGCACTTTCTCCTATCATTTCATCATTCGACATATTTGAGACAGGTTCATCCAACAAATACTGTTCTTTGGGTGATATTAAGGAGGAAGGCACCCATAAGCGTCCAGAAGACACTGCAAATAAGGAAAAATAATTCACAATATTTTCTATCTGTTGTGAATTGCATAAAGCGAAATAAGCTTACATTATCTTTGTCAAGATGGTACGACTCGCTTAGATTATCAACACTTCTCACACCTGTCTGGTATGCCTTAATAAGCTCAACCGCCTGACGCATAGTAATCCTTCCTTCTGGTACTGAATCCGGAACGATGAAGCCAAAATCTTTAGGCAGTCTAGGATATGGGTCGAAAAATAAAATTTTCTAACATGTTTCAAACATAGGAGTGCATATACACAAACTTGTGGTAGTTTCCGAGTTGATTTATGGACGTATTCAACGCCATCAGGAAGTATGCCTTTAGTCAAAGTTTTTTCTTTCACCTTCAGTGCATTAATATTTGCATCTAACGTAGGGTTATGTGATAACAGTTCATCGTATCGCTCGTCAACCATTGTGATAGTACCCGAATGTTTAGGAGCAGCCTTATTAACTTGTTTGTTCTTCTCTAGACATCTGATAGCTCTGTCTTCCAAATCGAAATTATAGACTATCCTCTTAAAAGAGGACAAAACTTTGCCCATTCCTGGGGTTTTGTTCAGCGCGCAAGGTCATACACAAGTCAATTTCCAATATCCAATATTGATAGTGCGAGCGTAGAAAACTGGTAGTTTTTGATCTCTCGCGTCTAGTTCTTAGGGCTTGGTTCCAGTTGTTCGGTTTACTCCTGCAGTGGACGAGGAAATCCCTCTGCTTTCTTGCTTTTAGCTTCGGTGAGGTGGATGTTTTGTGGGTTAGTAGGTTGTAATTTGTAGAGTGATTAGGGAGCTACGGGTTGCTGGGAAGTTTAGAGAACTGCCGTGACTCCTGTCTGTGTAGGTACCTGAAAGAGAATAGTAAGGTAGTGGTAAAGGAATGAAGAGAGAATAAAGAAGAGAGTGAAGTAGCACCATAGAGACTCTGGGAGCTGGGTTAAGGCCGTATCGCTAACCATCCTTGCCTTTAAACAGGAGTTTACGTAGATAGCCACTCCCCCTCCTGCTCTATGTTCCCTGTCCCTGCGGAAGAGTTCCATGCCAGCAACACGCATCTCTTCGTCGGAGATGTCCGATGAGAGCCAGGATTCGGTGATGAATATGATGTCGGAGTGCTGATGTTCACGCAGCGTCCTCATTTTGCTACCTTCCCTCTTAGCCCCCTAACGTTGCTGTACATACATATTAGAGTGTGCCTGATGAGAGGGGAGGTCTGGATGTGTATTTTCGGGGATGAGCGCTTACGTGGTTGATTTAGCCTCGCCAGTCCTCATAGGACTGGCATTGTTCCGTTTTTTTGTGTTTTGTTCTTAACTTGGGTGGGGGCTGTAGCAGTGGTGGCTTCTTTACTTGATGTATCTAACTCACTGGTCAGCGCCTGTGTGACGACCACTGACTCCAGAGGTCTTGGTGGTTGCCGTCTCTCCTCTTGCCTTGTGGGTCTAGGCTTACTTTCACATATACGTATTGAGCCACCCATGCGATCTTTCGCATTATACCATGCGTGCAGAACGTCTGTGAGGGAGGCATATGAGTCGAACTGGACGGCAAGTAGTCTGGGATTGGGTATGGTCTTCAGGTGCGCTGGCCTTGGCAGTCTACTGACGCTGTTGGCCGGTATACTGTTGAGACCAACTTTGGTTGAGAGCCATTGCCATTGTTGGACGTCGTGAAAGTACCGATCTTTGACCGAGCTGTCACTTGGCAATTCTGGAATCCCATGTACAACTATAGTGTTGTTTCTGTTGGGATTTCCAACCGCTGACTTTCTCTCCTCCTCTCTTATTGACCATGGCTTGTCAGGCCTGGCCCGAATTTTACAGGCATTAACAACGTCCGGTTGTCGCGAGAGAGGAGTGTGTCTTCAGCCTCTTTGGCGGTATTTAGGGACACACGTAAAGGGGGGGCTTATCTCGGGGTGCATGGCTTCCTCGAGAAAGGCGACATAAAGTTGCAGGGAGGGGAGGGAGTCCCAGCATCTGACAGTAGTCGGTCCACATTCGGCTGTCAAATTGTTCCCTCTCGACCAACAATGAGTCTGTCGATACATCGACGTTGAACAAAATGATCGAGTTGGTCCTCCTGTGACCTGGGTTCGTTGTGGGTGGCACGCCCGACTTCCCAATGGGTTTGAGTAATTCCACTGGTTGTTTCTCAGTCACGGTGTGTGGGGTGTTCGGAATGGGTTTCGTAGAGGCTTCGGCGGTCGATGTCTTTGGCCATGCGCTTGACGTCCCCTGGGGCCGGGTAGGGGGTATGGAGACTTGACCTAATATGGTCCCCACGCGAGGTGGCGTGCCCACAGCTGGAGCTCTAGGTCTGTTTCCAGGTCTCTCTGTGTTATCCTTTGGTGTTAACCCTACTTTTGCATGGCGGAGAGCATCTCCTTCAGGCTTTCTGTGCGGAGTGCGGGCATTTTCCTGCACTCTGGACAGATGTACCAGAACCACTTGCATGGTTGTCTCTTCATCAGCTTATAGTATTGTCGGGGACTTTGGTGTCGCAATGGCAATGCGCCCACCGTTGACATCGTTGACTTCAGTAGTGTGGGTGAAGGAAATTTGTAGTTGATGAATTTTCAATTTGAAGTCTTGAAGACCGGCTGTTTTATTCCGTTATACATCTTCGACGGCAAAACTAGCCTTTCCAGTTTGCCTAATTATAGATTTGGAGGTACTGATTGTCGATTTGATCTTCTTTTTCAAAATACAGTATGGTTCATAAGAATGTATTTTAGTATGCCCTCAGCGTGTTTACAATATCAAAACACGGCATAGTCGAACGTTTCACCGCGAAAGTCATGGCTTCTTCAGCAGAATGTACAGATTTTTAAGAATATCAAGATATATAGTCAAATGAGGCATCAAATACTGAATGAACGTAGCTTATTGGTTATGTGGTTTTCCTGTCCATCCTAAATAATTAAGGACAATCATTACAACTTCATGCTTGTTGTTTGGTTTTAGGATACACAATCCCTTCTCTGTTTTTATTTATGAACCGTCAATAATTGGCATTGTTGAAGCTTCAACCACAAAAATCATGAGTAATGATCCTATCGGATTAATTTTTGCCAAATAGACGACGAGTCTATTCCTTCTTTTCTGTTCATGGCATTTGATGTTGTTAAAATATGCAGGGTTTCGGAAGTTAATCCTTCCTTATGCGAATGGAAACCTTCTCCCGCCATATCTACATTTTCAAAGCAAATCATGTGCCCAATTTCAGTCGTATGCAAAGCTGTTGCTGATCAATTTGCTAATTTTTTCAATTCATCCTGATTCCTCGATGGATGTGTGTTCATTCGCACTAACTCTCACAGGTTCACAACTTTCTCCAACGTGTCGATATCTATTGATATACTTGCAACTTATTGGATCGAGTTGGTTAATCCTTATTGGCATATGGGTTTCTATGCTGATTCCTCGGTCTCCGCCCAACAAGTCGAAAACAGGGCGAAACGCACATCTAGGATTCCTCCGCTAGTCGCAAACAGCCAAATTTCTCAAAAATAATTACCTTCAAATTCCAAACATTTGACTTTAAAGACACGCCTGTTTCCCATTATCTTGGAAATGGAATCCTTCGCTCCAACTAAGGTCCTCTTTAGCGAATTTGAGGTTTCGAAACAGACCTTAATACCGTTCCAAGAGCATATCACTTTATTCTTCTTAGAAGTACATTCCCAGTATGGTGTCGTTGTAGCGTAACACACTTCCCCCTAATCAATAGCCTAGGGTTTGACGAGATTCAGTATCGATGCTGACCTTGATAGTTTAACTGGACTCGTTCGGCTAAAGGCACCCGGTCAAGCATCCTCAACATTTGGCACGCTGTCGTGTCACGCTGCACTGCTCGTAGTTGACTCTCTAGCCAGTTAGTTGGAGTGTATCAGCATTTCGGCCCGACCTCGCAGATATGCTATTCCATCCGACTGCGCTATTACGTTCTTTCTTGATTTCGTACTCGTAGGTATATGAAGATTTCGAATAATTGGTGATTGGTCTCTGCATCTGTCAAGTTCGCACCAGGACAATTCCTAAATTGGTGAGCTCGATGTGATTACACATCCCAACCAATAACAAATATTGAACTGGTGAGCCTGTTCCATTCTATACTTGTGTATTGTTTTGATTTTGATTACCTTTATATATCCATACACAACTCTTTCTCATGTCCGGCCACACTCCCAAGCTTATCCGTATTAGGCCGACCACGAACATTATCCAACTCGTGCCATGTTGGCTAGACAGTGCAGAAACATGGTTTCTGCATACCGAGGCAGATTTTCGAGAAGAGGGAGCCGCAGATTCTCATTCTCAATTTCTTGCCGTCATACGTTCACCGCCGCGGGAGTTAAACAGGCATGTTACAGCACATATGTTTAGCCCTGAGGTGAGTGATCCTTATGCGCTTCTCAAAGCCGCACTCTTGAAGAAAAGCGATCTCACAGATCGACAGCGCCTTGACGAATTGCTTCATAACATAGAGCAAGGCAGCGACTCAACCACTGAAGTCCTCGCACGCATGCGAGGAGCCATGAAAACACGAACGTTCGACAATAGCTCTTCCCAAAACTGTTTCTGTCAAAACCACCACAACCGGTGCAAACCGTGTTGGTGACACTGCGGTCAGTCCCACTCAATGACCTGGCGGCCTCAGCAGACGAAAAGCTGGGAACTCTAGCAGACCCGTCTCCAAAATATATTGTCTGCGATAGACCAGAGCCAGGACTCAGTAGTGATCAAGCTGTGCAACTTTGTTGAGCAGTTGCTACAAGCCCGTAGCCCTGGGTTACGTAGCAAATCACGGACACGCCTCTCATCAACTCGAGTGGTTGTCCAAAAACTAAACCTTACATGATGGAAAACCCGAGACGGTTCTGGCTTCACAGCACCTATGAGGATGGAGTCAGAAAATGCAGGAAGCCATGCACTTTCAACACGTACACGAACTAGAAAAACTGTCACGCTCTCACGGGTTCACGGTAACCGTAGCCGGCGGAAACAGCCGTCTGCTTTACGTCACCGATAAAAAACGAGTTTTCTACCTCGTCAACGCTGGCGCAGACGTTAGCGTTCTTCCCGCAACGACAAAGAAGCGTCGTCATGGCCCATCCTTCAACCTCCAAGCAGCCAATGCCAAGGCAATCGCAACATTTGGGACACAGTATGCCCACCTCAACTTCGGTTTACGTGAACCTATCCACCGAATTTTCCTCCTGGCTGACCTTTCTATGCCCATCGTTGGCATAGATTTGCCAAACCATTACCACCTACTAGTAGATGCTCGTCGTCAACGACCGATAGATAACAACACAAAGTTATCTATTTGCGGCACCACCCTGTAGGCCTGAGTTCAGCCCTCGTTAGAACCAAACAATCAGGCGGCGCGTCCTACCAAGCAGTTTTGGAGAAATATCCAGGGTTGCAACAACCGAAGCACACTCCTCAGTGCATAACCAGCAATGTTATACGCCAAATCACAACCACAGGTCCACCTGTAACGTCCAAAGCACGGCGCCTAGCCCCTGATAAGCTCAAAATGGCGAAGAGTGAATTCGATCACATGCTCGGACTGGGCACTACCAAATCTTCAAGTAGTCCTTGAGCATCACCACTGCATATGGTTCCCAAAAAGGATAGCAATGACTGGCGTCCAACCGGTGATTACCGAAGGCTTAACGCCAAAAAACACCGGACTGCTGTCCGATACCTCACATTTACGACTTGACTGCGACGTTATGCGGAATGAAAATTTTCTCCAAAACCGAACCCGGTCAAAGTGTATAATCAGATACCTATAGCAGCAGAAGATACAGTGAAAATAGCCATTATTACTCCTTTTGGTTTGTTTGAATTCCTGCGCATGCCATTTTGTCTTCGGAATGCAGCACAAACATTCCAACGCTTTATGGATGATGTCTTCCGTGGTTTGAATTTTGTCCACGTCTACATCGATGACTGTCTAATCGCGAGTCCAGATAGGGAAACTCACCTTAAACATTTGGATCTCGTATTCGAATGACTAAAAAGCGTGGCATCGCAGTCAACTTGCAGGAATGTGAAGTGGAAGTTGAGTCACTCAGCTTCCTTGGACATACCATTGACAACAAAGGTATATACCCATTGATGGGTAAGGTGGCGGATATCATGAACTATCCAGAGCTGACCACTGAGAAACATATCCGCACTTTCAACGGCCTGGTAAGTTATTACCGAAGGTTTATCCCTAACTGTGCCTCTGTCATGAGACCACTAACAGATCTACTTCGAGGAACTACAAAGTTCGTGACTTTGGACAGCGTGGCTAGAATTACTTTCTCTAAAGTCAAGGAAGCCATTTCAAACGCAACCATGCTCGTGCATCACGACTCCAGTGCTCCTTTGAGTGTTGCTGTTGATGCATCTGACTCGGCAATTGGAGCAGTTTTGCAACAGTTGACTGACAACCAGTAGCGACCTTTAGCCTTTGTCTCGTGGTGGCTACAAGACGTAGAAACAAGATACAGTACATTTGGTGGGGAACTCCTAGCTGTGTACTGTTCTGTACGCAATTTTCGACATTCTGTGGGAGGTCGTGATTTCATTACTTTCACAGACCACAAACCGTGAACATTCTCTCTTAGCTCGGCGTCTGACAAATATTCCCCTCGTGAGTCATGACAATTGGACTACAATTCCCAGTTCACGTCAGATATCCGCCACATTTCTATAGCTGATAACTCCGTAGCCGATGCACTATCTCGAATAGCTTCGATAAGCCATATCGAGGGTGTTGATCTCGTTGAACTGGCTTGGTGTCAAAAGAAGACCTTGAGCTGCATCATGAGTTGTCTTCCACAACTCTCAAGCCACAACTGTATCCAGTAGGATCAGACAAGGGTACGATTTTATGCGATGTCTCCGCTAGTCAACCATACTCAACGGTTCCGAGGGGATGTTGACATAGCTTCTTCAATACGTTTCACAAACTGTCCTATCCAGACGTACGAACCACCATCAGGCTTATTGCACAACTTTTCTGCCGGCAGGGAAAAACAAAGATGTTGAGAAGTGTGCTCAGTCGTGCTTAGCTTGTCAGAAGTGCAAAGTCGCACCACACACGAAAAGCCCTTTAGTTTCTTTTCTAGACCCAGACATGCGTTTCGACCACGTCCATGTAGACATTGTAGGACCTCTGACAGAATCTAGTGGATGTGCTTACCTTTTCACTTGTGCGGATCATTTAACACGATTGCCGGAAGCAGTACCTATTAAAAATATTACTGCTGAAACGGCAGCTCGAGTTTTCGTAGAAAGATGGATCGTGTACTTAGGATGTCTATCTTACGTGACAGCCAACCGTGGGCGCCAATTCGAGTGTGAATTATTTCACGCTGTAACTGCACTTTTAGGTTGCACTTGGTCCCGAACAACAGCATACCATCCGCAAGCAAATGGCATGGTAGAGCGTTTCCATCGACAGCTGAAAGCTTCCCTTCTAGCTGCAAACATACCCCAGTGGACTGAGGCTCTGGCTCCAGTCCTACTAGGTATTCGTGACACGTTGAAAGTTGTTGCTGGATGTACCCCTTCAGAACTAGTCTATGGGACCACTCTACGCCTACCAGGTAAATTTGATTCCCCTTCAACTCTCAAAAATGTTTTTGGCAAGACATCTTACGTGACTGGGCAGTGCGTTCAGCTAGGCCTTCTCTGGTTAGACCTCGAACGACTGATGTCTTCGCTCACCTCATTTTACGAAAGACATAACACGTGTTCATTCACCACGATGCCCTTCGTCGAACACTTGAATCACCCTACGATGGTCCATTCGAAGTGATTAAGCAACACGGGGGATTCTATATAATCAAGGAAAACGGATGTGAAGATGCAGTTAGCAATAACCGTTCTAAAACAGCTTATTTCGAAGGCGACCTCATCATAAGTGACATTTCAGCTCGCTATAGCTGACCGGCGGAAAGCCCGATTATCGAAATTCTTGACGATGTGACTGGTAATGCACAGATACAACAACCACCGGTGCAACAAAAAACGCGATCATATCGGACCGTCAGGTTCCCGGAGTATTTGAAGTAGTATTCAACTTTGCAGCGTAGAATAAAAATGTGCCAAACATCTTTTTAATTGAAGATTTTTTCTGGACGCCATTTTTTCACTTACCGGCAATGCGAAAATCCTCGTACATTTCAACTTTTGATATCAATTTTTTACTACCACATCATGAAACCTTTTCAAAAAAGTGGAAATAAGCGTAGACTTTATTTCGATGCATTTGTATATAAACAATTCCCATTTTTACGAAACGTTTACGTGGTATTAAAGACTTTTATTTATATTCCAGGTGCAACGAGCACTAGACGGAACGTCGAAGGACACCAAAGGTAGCGATCGGCGTGCATTTCGCTTTGTAGTATTTTATTTTTCGTTTGCCACGACGCCCTAGAATACGTCCAGACAACCAGGGTCCACTTCTCGCATTGGGCCCGCCGGAAGAGTTTTATCAATGGAGAAGCCACTGGGTTTTCACTTCCGGCTGGTATAGTCTTAGGGTCATCATGAACCCACTAGAAGTGGAGTGATCTGTAGCGTCACACACTTCCCCCTAATCAATAGCCTAGGGTTTGACGAGATTCAGTATCGATGCTGACCTTGATAGTTTAACTGGACTCGTTCGGCTAAAGGCACCCGGTCAAGCATCCTCAACATTTGGCACGCTGTCGTGTCACGCTGCACTGCTCGTAGTTGACTCTCTAGCCAGTTAGTTGGAGTGTATCAGCATTTCGGCCCGACCTCGCAGATATGCTATTCCATCCGACTGCGCTATTACGTTCTTTCTTGATTTCGTACTCGTAGGTATATGAAGATTTCGAATAATTGGTGATTGGTCTCTGCGTCTGTCAAGTTCGCACCAGGATAATTCCTAAAGGCCCACGGTTTAAGCTCATCAAGTTGGAATACGAAAAAACCAAAGAAATCAACTGTTGTCACACTGTTTCAACATTGTTACCTATACACCGGTTTTCTTCCTACCTCAAATGCCTAACCCTTTTTCGTTACTGTCACTCGCTATGAACTAGCCTCACCTACCTATGTTCCTCATATCTTTGCACCCCTCTTGTCCTACTTAGGTGTAAGTGGGTTACTCCGTCAGTTCACTTTCTTTTGTATTTCGGCCACGCATATTCGCCTCTCTGGGTTTTCTTTTAACGATTCCTAGCTGTCTCTAAAGACCAGTCCAAACAATTGTCTGGTAATTCGATATATGAAGAACCTAACTGCACCACAGTCTCAGGCAAACTAATCGACACTCAACCCCTGTATACCAGAGCTATAGCAGACAAGTGTCTGAGTCTACTGCGCGAGAATCCGTTGTAATCCTGGAACTGTTCGGCAGGACCAAGAAGCGAGTATGAAGAAATCAGCTGGTTTACTCAAGCCCATTTAACAGATATTGGGTATTGAGTACCGTCACGCGCATTAAACAACGGTATCGTCACAGAAGTTCGATCGTTTTGGTTATTCATACACTTGTCGGTTAGTTTGTTGTCTTGACAGTTTTAATAGCACATAAAACTTATGCATTATACGCTCATTACAGTGTTAGGTTAGAATGTTTAGAGTCACCAATACGCTACTTTAAAGCCTGCTATAGAGGGCAAAGGCCTGTTTTAAAGTTAGGAAGAAGCTGCTCTATGGATGTCCTGTTTCTCTCTAATCTCAATAGCCTGATAAGCTGCCTCTCTTTCTTTTGGCAATTATTTCTTTTCTTGGACCACTATTTGTCACCAGTGAAGGTAAATCATGACATCCTCTGTAAGAAACTTCAGCTTACGGTTGTACACCGGAAATTACCAATTTCGCTAGATTACCTTCACACCTGTCTGCAGTCAGTTATAGTTGGCTCCTCTGTATATAATCGGTTCCCTATGCTGAGTGGTGTGGCTCAAGGTTCTATTCTGGGCCCACCATTGCTTCTTGCTTTTATCAGCGACCTACCAGGATCCCTCAATTCCCAGTGACTATTATATGGCGATGACCTGAAACTTTGAAGGAAATAACAAGTGCCTATAGATATTTCAGTCTTCCGGGAGGACTTTACGAAAATCCCTAGTTAGATCGCAGAAAACCTGCTTCTCCTCAACCTGAAGTGCAGGATAATGGTAGATGACAAATTTAAGAGCAGTCCCAGTTATTGTTCTTTGGGTGAAATAAATATCTGTCACTCTAACATGGAGCAAGATCTGGGAGTTACACTAAGCGATAAACTAGGAGCTTCAGTCCACTGTCACCTTGCAGCCAACATGGCCTATGGAGTCTTGGGGTTTCTTTCGCGAACTTTAGGGAGTCTAACTCCTCTTTTCACCACAGTGTATACTCTGTACGTTCGCCCTCATCTAGAAAAAAATTCGCTTGTTATGTTCCCGTACTTGGAGACTAACACAGCCATCCTAGAACGGGTACAGAGAAGAGCTACAAAGAAAGTGATTGGGTTACGGTACAAATCGTACCCAGACCGCTTAGTTGCTCTTAAGCTGTATCCAGTACAATATCGGAGGATCAGAGGTGGTATGATCATGATGTACCACATCGCCCATAATCCCCTTAATCCTAATATATATCTTCTAAGCTTTAATCGGAAACGCCACCTGAGGGGTCACGCGTTAAGAATAGAGCCTCAGAGAGCACGTACAAAGATCCGTGCTAACTCGTTTGCAGTTAGAATTTGTAAGGTGTGGAACTCGTTTCAGTTGTTACAGCCGCATCCTCTGATACTTTCAAAACGAGTTTAGACGCACATATTGAGTCTTGTGGTACCGATGGGCTGTACTCGAGAAGCTTCTCGGCATCTTCAAATCAAGAGGAGTAGTACTATCTTCAGGCCAGATTAATTAATAATCGATTATCTCCATCTCAGGTTTTTCGGAACCATGAAGGTAATTTTGACCGTTCCAAACCCAGAACGTTCACCAATAAGACAAATGTAGAACCCAGGGAACCGTCATTCACTAATTCTACAACACGACGTGTGAAGGTAGAAGCTAATCAGCGTGTGATGTAAATAGCATGTCCTTATCTCAGACTCACTTTTCAGTAATAAGAATAGTAGACCAATTGCGTGTGTTCATCCTTATAGGTGAGATCCCTGTGAAGATCTAGTTCCTTTTTGAACCCGCTGACCAAAGGTCCTCATACTACTTGCTGAGGTAAGGAGTTCCAGTTGTTGACCACACTATAGGGAAAACGCAGATTCATGCTGAGTTGATTAGATCGCGGTTTCTGGGTTTTCTTGTAATACCCTCGGAGATAATTAATCCTAGCAGGAAGAGAAGATACAACATATTAGTACTGAGGTCATTATTAAAGATGCAGAATGCCAGTATGAGATCACACCGTTTCCTACGGTAAGACAGCGGGAATAAGTCTAGCCGATCTAGTCGTTCCCTATATAATATAGGTTCGAAAGGTCTGTCACAAGCTTAGTACCCACCCTTTGAACACCCTCGAGTACGTTAGCATCCATTTTTTGGCATAGACTGGTCGCCTGAATGCAGTATTCTGAGTGAGGTCTAACGTAAGTAAGATAAAATATTCTAAACGTGTCCTGATCAAAACTTTTAAAAGCTCTGCGGATGGACCATAATATGCGGAAACCTTTAGCTTCAGCTTCATTAGTGTGCTGAAGTTTTCAAATCATGGCTAGTGATGATACAGAGTCTTTCAATTCAAAGACGGAGTAATGGTGTACCACCAACGGAATACCGGAAACAATTGCTACGACTAATGTGCATTACTACACTTTTACTAGAGTCGATTTTCAGGTACTAACGTTTGGATCAACCTACCAGTTTATACAAATCCGCTTGAATTGCATACCTATCAGCAAAACTTATTATGGCTCTCCAAACTTACATCATCTACAAATAGCAGTACCAAAGAGTTGAGTATTTGCGGTAATTCATTAACACATAACAAGAAAAGTAAGGGACCTAAGATTGTTCCATGGGAAACTCCACCAATCACAGGTTTGCACCCAGATAGTATCCCATTAACCCTCACTGCCTCTGGTCAACGGTTTCAAGGAGGAACTAGATCTTCACAGAGATCTTATCTGTAAAGATTAACACAGGCCTACTATCCTAAACACTGTAAATCGGAGAAACTGAAAACTGTTTCAGCTGAAATCGCTTTGGCCGTGGTTTAATTTATTTCGCGCTTGGAAATAATTGTTTCCTAGGGGAGTGAAGAAATAGTTCATTTCATTGGTCATTGGTGGACGTTACGGAATACTAATACTAGGTCATCTCTTCTGCAGCATGAAAATTGGAATAAGTATAGTCGTTTTGAATGCTCGCTGTAGGATAGATTCGATAAACCAGCCAACAACTTAGTGCCAATTTTTAGAACGCAGTTCAGTGCGTCAGCATCCTTTTAGATAGAGGAACTGACTGCTTAAACTAGGTTTTCAAAATGTGGTGGTGCATATGTGGAACACAAACAAGATTTTTTGATGAAACATTTCGAAACTACAGACTGTATATCAATGCATCCGAAATCCTTTCACTGTAGCTACATCATAGTATGTAGATGTTCAAAGCCATGTCTAATGATCACTCCCAAGTCTTTGATTTCCTGGATGTTAGTTACCGATGAAAGCTACCGTAGTCAGTTTTCGTGCCTGCACACTCACTAGAATTAATTTCTGGACACTAGCGTCTAAACTAATCAACTTTATCTGAGTCCGCTTGTAATGCATATTTCTGCCTCGTTGCGAATAACCTTCCATATTTTCTGTATCGTCAGCAGAGAAATCCATTAAAATAAATTTGGAAAACAGACAGACGAAATCACTATAGGATAAACGTAGTATTCCTTTAAGCACATCTGCTGAGTGAAGTATCTTCTCTTCCGCTTAGTAAGACATCCAAGAAGTGTGGTTTACTCTCATTTTCTTCCTCACAAGTGAAAGTAAGTGAAGAGTGCACCTCATTATATTTTCTCAACACCTCGTTTGTATCGACATTCTGATGTAGGATAATGAATGTGTCGTCAATATGATGGTGATACATAGTCATCTCATTAATTACCTCTTTCAATACTCCGTTCTCCAGTTTGGCAAGAAATATATCAGCTAAAATAGGACCGAGTTGTGAACCCATAGCTATCCCATCAATCTGTCTATAATGAGAACTATTGAAGACAAAATGTACATTAATAGTACATCTAAGAAGCACCTCCTTGAGGATAGGTACAAAAATCCCGATGTTGATTTGCCTTTCCGATATTTGTTGACATACAAACTCTACCGTCCCCAGCGATGGCACATTAGTGAGTAGTGATAAGATATCAGGCGACATCATATATTTTCCATTTACATTCACATTATCTAGCTTAGAAATTAGTTAACCACAATGTAAGCGACGTCTTTGAATTTATTTCAGTGCACGCATTTTCTTAGTCATGTGTCAGTTCGGTACAAAACAAACCTGGTTAAATGCCTCACTAACAGAGCGAGAAAAATATGTTCGGATGATATAGTGCAGGAGTTAGAATTTATTCGAGATTCATTGGTTGAAATAGGCTACCCTAACAGTTTCATAAAGACATATGGACAAAGCCAGGGGACAAACCTGGGATTATTACCATACGAAAGAAACCGTTGTTTATCAAATTGCAATTTAATGAGGATGTAACTGGAGAAGTTTTATATCAGAGACTCTCTAGAGCCATTAAGACGACCTTCTACGCCGCATAACTATGTCTATCATTCTCCAGTCGACCAGTTGTTGCTGCTCAGACAAAAGATAAGGTATCTAGTTTTGCCATTTCTATGCAAGTTTAGCTGTTCCTGTGGAGAAAGCTATATAGGACGTACTACTAGACAACTTAAGAAACGTGTTGCTGAGCATCTACCTTTATGGTTGGGAAACGCACAGATAAAATCCATCAGAAGTTCAGTTTTATCTCACCTCATTGATAATAGTCACTTGGTAGATAAAAACAATGCTTTCATGATTATTCACCGCATACCATCCCATCTTTCGAAAGGTATTCAAATTCGCCTTTCACACGTAGCAGAAACTGTGGAAACTCGAGCTAATAATCCTAGTCTTTGTATTCAGAAGACATTTTGACATCCCTTATCTCTTCCTTGACCAGGTAATACTTAGTCTATACTGCCTGATGACTGAAGGATTGTGGTCCTGATTTTCATCCCATCTTCAATCATCACCAAGTATAAATACTAGTCTACCAAACTACGGCTATCTCAGATAGTCAAATGAGAATACTTAGCTAATAACTTCATTATTCAGTTGTTTTTTTCCCTACTCCTTTTCTTATTCTTCTTCCCTTTCATATACTTACTGTGTTTGTCAAGGTTTTGTTTAATCCACCTACCTCGTACTTCAGCGTTACTTAACTTTTATTTTCTCAAGCTTTTGACCCACTTTCATTATCGGAGTGTCTACATCTTATGTTGCTGTCTTGGTTCTTATCATTATCATTTATATTGCACATGCTTTAGTCAACGTCATTACTTTTCTCATCATTATTATTTATAATGTTATCTGTATTATTATTACTACCGTCGTTTTAAAACAATTATCAACCAACAGATAAAAAGCAGTCAAAAGTGGTAGAAAGTGACCCTACTCATCACATGTAGCAGTTTTTATAGTGTCCTAGCCACGTTTACTGTCTTTTGTTGCATAGGAGTTCTGTGTCCAAACCTACACCGTAGTATCAAGCCCGAAATGAGGGTTTCCTTGGTAATCCAATAGGAAAGTTAAACGAGATCCCTACTGAAATCGATAAACAACATCTGTGGTCAGCTACCTATTCCTCTGTCATTGCAGGGAGGTTAGATGAGCAGAAGCGACCAGCACGGAATCAAAACTGTACTCTATGGGAATATGATTTTCGACATCATTCTGTATCAAATCATATCCCTGGTATTGTTCTTGATTATTTAGACAACTATCCCAGCTAGCCTAACAAGAAGAAAGTTCGATAGTAGTAACAGATTACCTGCATTAATTACCGGGCTAAATATAACATTTTTCCTGTCTTCTGGAAGCCATAAAGCGATATTCGTGGGGAAATGCAACCGATTTCGGCCTTTTACGCTTTCCCCTTTTTTTGTCTATTTCCCCCCTCAAAAGTCGCTCTCCTACTTTAACCCTGTCTTTTTTCCCCCATGAAATTGGCTTCATTTCCCCTTTATTGTCGACTTTTCACCCCTAAGTCCGCATAGTTTCCCCTTAGTTATTGACTTGTTCCTATCGATTTCGATTTATTTCCCAGTTTAAAAAGTACAGTGATGAAATTAAGATGGTTTCAAAAGCGTTAACTCATAAGGTAGGTAAAATATACTTAATTTTTTACAATATTTAAAAATAACAGTCACATTAATGGTCGTAACTCTGCCATCAAGTCAGCGGACAGTTAATTGAAGTTTGATGGCTTATGCTGTCCACCGCGTATACCAATTAAAAAGACTTCACTAACATGTGGACGACATAGTCTACGTAATACAGGCTATAGATGCTGACTAGAACTCTTTGAAAGCTGCAACCCATCGTAGTTGAACTGCAGTTCCACTTCATTAAAAGTACCGAAACCCAGCCACTGTTCTACATAAGAGTACACTTTTCTTCAGTCCAATATGGTAATAGATTCCTGAGCTTATAACTTTTGCTTCACACGGACAACATCGTGATACACTACGAATACTACGAAGCAATTGAGGAAATTCTTCGCGTAAAATTTCCAAAATGACGTCATCGTCTCCTTGCGTGATGTTCGTTTGCAGCATCATACTCATAACAATATTTGTCATGCGTTCCTGTCTACTTTTGGTCCTGTCTTCCAGAGGCGCAAAAGGTACAGCCGTCTCTAACTGTTATGCGTAAGAAGTTAGTATTGACAAATACCGCTATCACTTATTTTGGTAGTGGAAATGTGGTTGCAATTAACTGCATCCGTCAGCCTTAGACTTTCTGCAGTCACACCTGGTCATTTGTCAATGTTAAATAGCCTAATTTACTAGTTCTGGGAACCACTTTCGTGTCCCCAATAGACTCATTCATTTTTCTCTTGGACTCCTCAGAAATGTCTGTACAAATTCGTCTACATCGTCTGTAAAACGTAGACCGGTGACAATGCCACGCTTCTGTAACAATACAGATCTCAATCTTTCGGTAAAAGATAGGTCTTAAAATTCCGGATACTAATAAATGAAAACATAAAACGCTGTATTCGAAAACACGCCACTCACTGTTAGAGATGCCAATATCCCCTATATTCCACACTTACAGTTTTGTGTATATTTGAACTGTTTGTTCGCGCTCTTTTCCCGCGTATGGGCCATATTTCGTATGACCCGCTATTATTCTGATTGGCTTCTGACTTTTTAAATGTACTAGTGATTCCTTATTTTTCAAAGGTACTTAGGTAAATCATTATTCGAGACGAATTAACTTAGTTTTCGATATGCAAAGTAGTTTGTAGAAATTTTTCATGGTTTTGAAGTATCATGTTAATAGACAGCTTTTATCAAAAAAATTTCAGCATCTCGTCGGAGTTGCAGATAGGACATCACTAATTAGCATAATAATTCCATAGAAAAGAATGATAGAACCATATTTTTACTGTCACATTACTTTCCTCATTTGTTTTATAAAAATCAATCAGACTGTTTATTTTCCACGTTTCTTATTCTAGATTCATCCATGCATGAGTCGGATATGGTCGACGTAGTTTCTTCAAGACAGTGAAACATCTGCCTAAGTACATTACCAGTTTTCTCGCTATATTTGCAAACAATCTTCGAAATATACCAACTTAGTGATTATCTTTCTAGGGAGTTTTTCAAAATACCCAAGTTGAATGACTTCTTTCCAAAAAGCGCTTGAAAATCTCAATGAAGGCACGGTATGCATCTGTGTCTGTGTCAGTATGTGGCTATTGTTGATCGCTGCTAGAATGGATCATGTCCTTATGATTCCGTATTGGGCCGTTTTCCTACCACTTTGGTTATGGAAGACAATTGTTTTTGTTGGCTGGTTAGTTGGTCTAATAGTATGGTGTAAGCATTGGAGAATTCACACTGATGATTCAGAGCATAGTTCTTTTGTTCCTCAGGAAGACCCTGCTCTCCCCTACATCCAAGCAATGTCCGTGTCAGCATTTTTCCATTTTCTCATCATGTGTTCTGAAGTGTTATTATGCATTCATCTCTCAGTTAAATCATCCAATCTCACTTATTTAACTATACTGTCACCACTACTAGTTGTAGGCGCTTTGGGAGTATTTGGATTCCTCTTTGTTATGATCGATTCAAGAGCAGCATTCTCAGCAAATGCACGACGTCGAAGACAACATCACTCGCGACCTTTTAACAACAATAATAGTAGTAATCCAGATTCATTTGTTGTTATACCACGTTCGCGTCATGTATGTTCCTTTACACTAGAATTATGTATTGCTGCTAATCTCTTGCAACTTCTTTTCCTAATTGCTCGGCTTGACAACTGGATACGTTCTAACTGGGTTGTTACTTTTATTCCATCATTCATCTTGCTAGCAATGGGATTTTTGTTTTGTTTGGCAGGATTAACTGTTGCGCTGATCACATATTTTACTGCCTTCTTTATTCCTGTAGCCCAACGTAGATTATCTGTATGCTATTATACTTCACATCTGTTAGTAGTTATTTTTCTTTGTACATCATTAATACTATTAGGCTTAAGACTTGATGGCTATATTTCCGCTTCAAAAGGTAGTGCGCTTTTAATCTGTATTCCTGTATTGGTTAGTATGTTCCTATATGCTTCACTATCATCTGGTCCTGGCAATCCTTGGTGGTTTGGATTGAATCGTAATGTGGTTCTTGCAGTATTTGAATCTTGTCCAACCTTACAACTTTGTGCCAACAATCGTATCACTAAAACTGGCCTCTGGGGGACGTCTCGATATCATGGAGATAACGATGATTTGAATAATACGCCAGCAATGAGTTCGTATCATGTAAATTCAGTGGAAACTCAATAGTAAGTGTTATGCGTAATTGCGCCTAATTTATTTAAAATGCAATAGTTTTGTTGAGATTATAACCCCAGAAAACAGCAAGAATTTTGAGAACAGGCAAACTTCTATTGAAATGGGATATGTATTTATTTATATTTCATAGTTTTCATTTTTTTTACTGTATTGAACCGAATTGACTGATTTACATCTGTGTATGGATACCACTATATGATTATTTCACTATTACCATTAGTTTCGTCTAGATTTGGTTCCTTTTATTTTAATGGGTATTGGGTTCGACTCCTACTGAAAAGATTTTCTCTTACTCTGAGGCAGTTTCTTTCAACTGATGTGTTTCAAATAGGATGAAATACTTTTGCAGGCTTCCATTGCTCTATATACCACAAAAGTAGTACATAAAAAAAGACAACCGTCTATATATTGCGATATAGGAGTTACAAGCATCTCATTCTCAGTTGAGCAGCTGGTATGATACAACACAAAAATCTGTATGCATGTGACTAACTAAATTTAATTACGAAAGTGATAGTAACTGCATTTCGTTGTACACCATAAGAAGCATCAAATCAACGAGCAGGGAACTCTTACATTAAGCCCAGAAATAACCGAAACATTTTTGCTAACAAACTGGAAACCTAACTACCACCTTTAGCAGCTCTAATTATTGGATGGTTGTTATCTTCATGAGCCACATATTCACTTATGTCCTAAACTGTAATATAATCATCGTATGCCGTGCCCAGAAAGACGAAATTATTGTTGTGATGTAGGGTTTTCTAATTATTTTATGGCTGTTGATGTTCATCACTCAGAATGTAGGTCAAGATGGTTTGAAAAAAAACTATTTTACATACACTTTTGTGTCATTCGCAAGGTCCTTCGCCCACCTTTACTAACTGAGTGATAAAATCAACGTAGAACCTCTCACACAGGTGGATCGACTCAAGTTGCCACACTTCACAGTAGTACACAAAAAAACAGGTGGATAGAAAAAGAGTGATATCAAAGTAGACAAAGTTGTGTAAGAGAATAAACAATCTGAAGATAACGGTTAGTGCAAATATTCAAGCTTTGAGAGATGTGAAGGAGTAAATATATCTGTGCCATCGTGGCCCATTTTCCGCCATGTCACCAAAAGTTCTCAACCAGTGATTCCTTTCGACTCGACGACCCCACATGACTCAGACAAATAGTCAGAGACTTTATCGACTAGTGACGTACTGGTTTGGCCACCCTAAGTCCTCCTCCAACTTAATCCGGCTTCCCCTGTCATGGAACGTCGAGGTAGGCGGTGACTTGACATGGAAAGTATATGTCCAAGCTATCTCAGCTGAAGACCCTAAACTCGATATTTGTATGAGCATTCTTTTAAGTATACTTTTGTGATGCCTCTTTCTTAGAAGTATGCTATAGAATCTGGTTCACATCATTCTAACCAATAACTCCATTTTGTAATAAGACTAAAGTTTCATGTCTCAAGCTTTTTCCTCAGGTATTGTTATTTACGATTATTGTAATTTATGCATATGATTTATTTTGAATGCATTCATGGATGTATTTCACCAGCCTAAAATCTTGGTATAATTGTGTGACAGTGAAAGACGTTACGAGTCTTAATACTTGTGATTGGAAAGTTGAATGCTATCGAAAGTAGTAAGTGAGATAGGTCGTTGTATGAAAAATGTCAACGTATTTCACTAATAATGCCACAATCACGATATTTGGTTGCCTACGAAAGGATGGATTTATAATATGAGTTTACAATGGTTTTATTCTATGATTGCAAATTTGCACTTCTACATTGTGAGATTTGTTCAACAAGTATTTTTGATCACTGTGTCCATAGTCCTACTACTTACTAATTTTCATCAACGCCACCTATGTACTCTGAATTAACGGTCTTCAGGTATGAGAAAAATTATTATTCAAATTAATGGCATTATCCTGTGTAAAGCGTCTGGACAGGTTGGCTAGATTTTGCCTATGGAATTTTGAAGAATTGCATACGGTGCAATATTTACTTCAAGAGGTGTCCATTATGCAACAGCTGTGAAGGATATTGTCTAGGTTTTACAGCTGTTGTTGTATTATCACTTTCCAAATAAAATATAAAGGTCATGTTGCATTATAGTCTGACAGTGCATTGGGTATGCTTCAGAATCAGAGTTATTAATAATCCTCCTTTAATTTAGTTTTGTTCTGCTAATTAATGGTAAGGAAATAATAAGTAGCAAAGATAAAAGTAGAGTCTTTCTCTTAATTTAGTTTGTTTTTATATAAATGAAAAACATTATTTTCAGTTAGATCACCTCAGAATCATTAACCCCTTTTACTTTTAGTGGTAATCCTCCATCAGCTGCTGATCCTCTTACTGTTTGCGAAGTTTCTAGTGCGCACAATCTCAAAACTTGTCCAAATTGTGCAGTGGGTGGTTGTAATTGGTGTTCATCAGCTAGTACAAAGAATATTAACTGGCAGAATGTTAACATCTCATCAGAAATTTATCATTCCCACAATTCTTATTATTCAGATCAATTACTTCATCCTGATTAATTAGTTATTTTAAATACCTGGGATATTGTCATTGATGTTCAGTTGAATGAACCTTCATCTCAACCTGTAATTACAAATAATTTTATTCTTTCTGATTATTTGAATATTTTCGTTTTTCTGCGTAATTTTTATCTTGAAATGTTTTACCTAGTGTAAGTGAAACGCACCACTACAACTATTTCCTTTAGTTTAATTTTCTTTAATATTCTCAGTAGTTTAAGAAAAAAAATCATTTCTTGATTTGCTGTGGTTTTTTATTTTCTTCTTTTAACCTCTAACTAATTTAGGCAGCGCCATCTTTAAATATACCTTTCTACTCTTTTCATTGTTTCTGTCATCATATTAACAATACAATTCCTATTATTTTCAATATGTATACACAACACTACTTTAACAGTTCAGAATTAGAATTGGCATTTTTATTTTACTGTCATCTGACATTCAGTGTTGGTTGGAATTCGTACTTACACATCTCCACACCCTATGTATATATGTGTTCAGTAGTTACATTTCGCAGCATATTTTGTGATACATCATTATTAGTCATTATAATTATTAATGCTACTGCCAAACACAAATTGTGTAAACTACTTTAATGTTTCAACTCATTTAGAAGTTGTTCAATTATATTTTCAATGGTTTATTTACCAGCTCGTATGACTTATCTCTTAACTGTAAATTAATAGTCAATCCGAAACGTTAAACTACAGAACATGTTACCATTAGTCAACCATTAATTTTTCCCTTGTTGTTATTATCGTAGAAGTTAGTATTGACAATGTCTTCAAGTTGTATAAATGCAGACTTATTGAGATCTCGATGTTTGTAGTTTTGTTTGTCTTGCACCCCATGTAAATTTGCTGTTGGTTTTTGATGTTGATTAGGAACTAATTCAGGCAGAAAAAGAGAAAAAATTAGCATATTTCAGAGACGGTAGTCATAATAAATGGTATGTTATATTCAATGAGTTTAATTGATTACTTCATATTTTAATGCATTATAAGTACTTTTAGTAGTGACCTTTCAGAGTTCTTAGTATTTCATTCACTCTTAGTTCTCAAAACTCTAGGGAGAATATTTGTGAGAATAAGAGAAAACCGAGTTTCCATGGTCCAAAATGAACCATTGGAGCAAATAATTTCGTTTAGTTCCATTATTAACGATTAAGTATGATATGCGATTTATGACTCGAAAAGCTTCTTGTTCTTTTTAGTTATATTAAAGTCGATATATAAATCCTAAATCAAGTTTTCTTACTTATGAAGGTAGAATGCTACCTTCACAAATAAAGCGTGCTTAGTTAGTCTCATCGTATATGTCAGAAGTGTGCATTTACTCTTGGTTTCGGTACATTTCAGTCGTGAGCAGTATGCTCAGTTAGAAAATTAGAAACCATGAAGAAGGTTAAATGACTTTGGGAAATTTATGTCGGGTGACTGCCTGTTCAGCAATGAAGATAAGAAGGCCTTTTTACAAATGTATTTCAGGAAAACATGTATGAAATAAAAACAATGATTTCTATCTTAGAGGCTGATGAATTTAACGTCGTGACAACTGTGTTTCCACAGAATAAAGTACATTGTTCTTACGGGGTAGTAATGTAAGGTCATGCAACGGAACAACGCAAGTTGCACTACATGTCAATGTGCTTGTCACAATCTTTGCAGTTTATTTGTTTCATTTTTGACAAACATGCTGTTAGTATCATTGCTCTAGTTGAATCAGTTCCCATTGAAAATAATTCCAAGTAATAATAGGTAGAGGGTGTACTATGTTCTTGGTTGTCACTTATGTAACCATTCTGTAGAATGGAAGACCACATAAGTTCAGGATTCTTCTGATGTATTGCTTAATTTCCCATCATTCTATTTGAGGTTGAAACACCTTTGCTTGGATCTGTAGCTTCTTAACCCGACCGATAGCTCGCACCTTGACGTGGTGGTTGCGTTTGTATATCACTATGACCCAAAGAGCTATGCTGGTGGAACGCTTGCTCTCTTTAAGTCCTACCATGCCAGGTCTGTTGGATAGTGATTAGACAAAAAGAAGTTGTCCCTAACACGTTTTTAAACAATAAGATGATGCATTACCGTGGCTTAGATTAGTCATTAGTGGTGATCCGAAACCACGAGACTTTTGTCTGACCACACCTTCCATAATACAGACAAACTTTGGTGGCATCGAAAACGCCGGCATCAAGCAGATGACCTCTGGGCCCTGCGATACCGCACTGACCCTTCTTTTTCAGGTACCCCAAATCAACCTAGCCTTCCGCTTTGTGAGCAGTCCGGAAGTGTCAACGGCCATCACAACTCTGTCAGCACTGAATTTCCCTCAGACCACTAATCACCTCCCTGATCATTACCTTCTAGTCTTTCTTCACATCTCTCAGTCAATATTGCTGCATCATCTGTAATTTCTTCCAATTTTAAGGCTTTCGACGGCGATCGGAGTCCACAGAACAGTATCACTGGTCTCTTGAAACCACGCTCCAAATTACACATCTGGGCCTTCAATGCTCACACCCTCCATCAAATTGGGCAACAAGCTTCATTAGCCGTGGATGTGTATTCTGTTTGTGAGACATTTATACAGAAACCGAGTGCAGTTATTCACGTGACCTCTCGCGGCCAGTCTGATGAATGAGCGAAATCCACCCTTCGAGTTTCTGGAGATTCGGTGGATAGCTATCACGGTCTTGCAGGTGTAGATATAGCATTAAGCACTTGGCAGAAAGCTCACTACTAGATTGGATCCCAGTTGACAGTTGCCTATGGGCTGTCCGGCTGAACGGCACAGGGAGAATTGAAAAAAATAGCCGAAATTGCCATTGTTTCTTTGTAATATCTGTTTACACACCCACTAACTCCAGTTCAGATGAAGTGAAGGATGAGTTCCACCGAAAACTGTCTAACCTCCTGAAAGTCAAACTTTTAGACGTGGTTGTTGTTGCAGATGATTTCAGCGCACATGTGGGTAGGCTGAGTCAGACAGAAAGGGACTTTTGGAATCCCGGCTAAATGAACAGATAACGGCGATCGTCTATTCCAACTTTGTTTAGATAACCATTTATTTCTAGCTAGCACAAACTTCAAACATTAAGCTCAACTCAGTGATGGACACAGATAGACCATGTTGCCATCAGTCATCGCTGGAGAACGTCCGTGAACGACTGCCTCTCTTTCTGGAGCACGTGGTTAGATAGCGACCACGCGTTGGTTCGAGCGCTTATGTGTCTACGTCTCAATGGACGAAGAAAGACTTCAGCAATAAGATTATTGCGAGTGCAGCTCGACAATGAGAACATTAAGGCCGCTTTCAGTAAGAAACTGCCAATGTACTTATCGGAACAGAACAGTATCACTCATCCAGAAGCTTGGTGCCATTTCCAGTATGCTGGAAAAATAGCGTTAAAGACCGTAGCCAACTCTTAGATAACGGTTCAAAAGGAACCAGTAGGTTTCAGCACATTCGTCTAAATTAACTGATGTACGCGAACGCATCCCTGAAGGCTCTGAGTACAATGAGGAGCGAGCACAACTCAAATGTGGACTGACAGAAAGTCTACTCAATGACCGCGAACAGTGTTGGGCAGCGAGGGCTAGAGATAGAAAAGGCAGCAACGATAGCTAAAAGTAGACAATTATTTAGAATTATTAAAGAGACTGGGGTTAGTGAGACTATAGTGGAGAAGGATGGGTCTACGACTCACTCTCAGGGGAGGCGACTGGAACGATGGGCAGAACACTTCGAGGAACAGTTTAACTGGCCTCCAGTTACCATTGCATTGCCTGCTATCCAGTCGAATCCTGAATGGAACATTGAGATAGGCCCCCCAACACTTACAGAAGTCAAGAAAGCGATAGGTAGCTTGAAACGAGGAAAGGTAGCAGGATCAAATGGACTAACTCCTGAGGTATATAAGGACAGTGGCAGTGCTTTTAGTCAAGTTAACTGAAGTACTAACTAGTGTATCGGGGACAAATATGACCCACCTGACTGGCCTTAATCACTGATTATCCCAGTCTTCAAGGAGGGCAAGAAGTCCTCTTGTGATAACTACAGAGCAATCAGTCTGACGAACAAAGGGTCCAAGATCCTAGGTTCTATAATTCTCTGACACCTGAGTGGAGCTTGAGAACAGTAAACCCGAGAAAACTAGACAGGCTTCATACCTAGCCATGGTTGTGTCGACCAAATATTCACACTCCACAGGGTTCTGAAACACGCTTACGCTCACCGACGCCCGACAATACCTGTACTTCCCTACCTGAAGGTGGTGTTCCACTCCATCTACCGAGAAGTCTTGTGGCACTGCCTATCACTGAAACGGGTACTGAGTAAGTATATCATTCTGTTACTCGAACACCTGTGAGTGTATTAGAGTTTATGGTGAGATGTCGGGTGAGCTGTGTACGTCGAGTGTGTCCGTCAAGGATGCTCACTCTCCATTCTTATTCAGTTTTATCATGAACGTTCTTATGGAGGTCTCTCTATCGTCATCGGTCTACATAGAGACTGACCTAATCACAGGAGATGTTTGGGAAGACCTAGAATATGCAGATGGCATAGAGCTGTTAAGTGAAGATGCAGAGTCTTATAGATACAATGAGTGGCGATTTGAGAATGTTTGGGATGCGTTTCTCGCCACCCAAATATAAATTGTTGCTCCAGGACTGGTTTTCAACGGTGTCCCAACTAACAACAGAGAATCAAGTGGTTGGGTACGTTGAACACTTCACTCACCTCGGAAGCCGGATCAGCCTTGGTGGGTCAGTGGCCGACGACATCTCTGCATGGATGCAAAAGGTTCGGTTGGCCTTTACCAACTTACACCATTTGTGGCGCCGCCACAATATCCGATTGTCTATTAGGGGTCCAGTGTACTATGCTGCAGTCCACTCTGTTCCACTCTGAAACATCGGCCATAAGACATGTGAAGGCTTCAGGTGTTTGATCACCCCTGCTTTCGTAGCATAGGCCGTGTTTCGTGGTGTCACCACATAAGTAACTCAGAAGTCAGGCGGGAAGTTTTAGGCAGGAGAGAGATGAGTGGGTTGTAAACCTTCATCGACTGAGATGGCTGGGACATGCGTTATGTATGCCTGGCCACAATCAGCCCCATCGTAAAATGTTGAGTGAAGTGTGTTCGGGTTGGGAAAAGGTTTGAGGCAGGCTGACTGAAACATGACATCAATGCATGAAGTCCTTGACTGGTTGTCTGAACTATGACGGGCGATGCAGATTAGCTGGTTGAGGTCGTGGGACAAGAGAAACCAGTGGTTGGAGATTGTAGATGGTATGGCTCGGAACCTATATCAATGGTACAGATGTATACACACGCGCTCTCCTCATCTAAACCCCCATGCTTAATCTCACTATCTTCTCATTTTTCGCTACTGCCTACTTTCTTGTACCGATTTTGCTTTTCTTTCTTCATCTTTCATTTTATTGCCTTGTCACTTGATGTGCTGATATGAGGTGTAACAATTCAGACCGTTATGCAGTAATGCCTGATCTTATGTTGATTTGTATGATGACGTAGCTTTTTAAAGTCTAGAGTTTTCCGACCGTCTTTAAAGTATTGCTACTTCCAATTAGCTTGTTTTTTAATAATCTGCTACATAAACTTCTGATTTCACTTATTATCTGCTTTTATTACTCTAAATGTGATACTTGTTGAATGGTCATTCTTTCCATATTGTTTGAGTATCTTTCGTGTTTATTTCAATCCTCTTTCGGCAACAAACTCGTTCAGAGTTATTTTACAGATAACTGAAGATAATCTGAAGTATTTAGTTGACGAAATCTAAACTTGGTACCAATAAACAATTTCATCTTCATTTCCTACTATAGTTGTCTTAGATCGATGATAACATTTTATCGCAATGGCTTTTATATCTTGTCAATTTTTTTTCAGAACCTGACTGTTGTTTGTTTCAAAAATACAGTTTTTTAATGTTTTTCCGTCAAACTGCTTCATAGATCATGTGTTTTTACCGATCGAGCGGAATGCAAGTTTTTTTTAATGTTTAGTATATCAAAAATGTTAGTTAGTGTGTACTGTCTTACGACTAATGAAATTAAATTGACGAATACGATTTATCTGCGAAATTCTCTTTCTTCTCTAGGCTTACGTGAAACTAGAGAATTTTACCCTTTTCATCCATCAGCTATAATTTATTAGTAATAGTTATACCGAAACGGGATTAAATAGTGCTCTTGTTAGCTGAAACTCTAGTGTCTACGTCTTTGATTTAATCATTTTTAAAATAATCAGATAGATTTTTAATGACAGTTGGAAGATTATGAACATACAAAATTATATTCAACAAATTTTGAATAGTGAAGTCGATTGGAAGTCTTATGAATTGGTATCCAGAAGAATGTAATTGATAAAACCGTCAGAAAGATTGAAAATACATATTTATCAATGAAACCTTTCACCTAAAACATCGAATTGGTAATTACGAAGAAATGTACCACTAAGATTAGAGTACATGTCATCAAAGTGGATACTAATCAAATTGCTTACTCAACGCTTAACGGTGTAACATGATATTTGGCAAGTAAACTTTCTGTTTCACTCGAGACGGTCCATTTGACTTGAATCAGCATTGTAAACAGTTTTATTGTAGAAGATACTTTGTTAACAGATATCGTTGATTTGAATTAAAAATTCTCTAGTTTTCAAATTTTAAGGCATCCTTTGCACTTTTTTCTATCTTCCAGAAATATCATAGTTTCCTTGCAGATAAGTGAAAAACTTGGGCACTGTGGTAGAATGTAGTTCCATATTAGATTTGTTTATTTGATATAAAGCGCACAGTGATACAGTATTATTTACTTGACTCAGTATCACTGTGCGCTTTATATCAAATAAACATTCCTTGCAGATAGTTCATTTTGTGTGTCTTCACATAATTCATTGTGAACATCTCATGTCTAGTTGTAAAAAAGTTTCTTTACTCAGTCATTCTTTGTCTTTTTATAGCTCTGTCTAACTGTAATCGTTAATAAAGCCCCATTGAGTTTAACCCTCAGATTTGAAATTGTGATATGTTGTAGCATGTCAGTTTATAAATTTTTATTAGCTCTAGGGCTGGATGTGCGTTGCATAATAAGGTATATTAAAGTGTTACGAATCGAAATTTATAAACAAATAGGTAGCTAATTAGACATTGGTTTAAGATGACAACAAGAGAGTTCGTAACCTACGCAGGTAAAACACCTAACTATATACGAGTTTTGCTCACATTGAGTTATTCTGCAAGTGGATGGTTTCCGCTAGAAAACTTATTAATGTCATGTTACACATAGTCTAAGTGGTGTAGACTGCTTGGAACGGCCCCGTTATAACCTCCAGCAGAAGGGAAACAGTTCTCCAGTTCATGCAAGTCAATATGCAAGCCTAAATCTAAACTATCCTGTGGAATAAGCTACCTGAAAAGTACTACGAGGAATCTTTCTAACCGTGCGAATGAATACTTGGCAGTTAGACTGAGTAGAAGGGAAATGAAAACATTCACTGGAACAATGCTGCAATAGGTGGTAGGCTAGTAATTTCTCCAACACAAAGACGTCATTTCCAGAGGTCCACGGGAATTTAAGTCAAATAACCCATATGGTTCTGATTTTTTGGCATAACAGAAGCTTTCGCTATAAAGATTATGAAGAAGGAATCATGAGTCCGTAAAATTTCAAAAAAATACCTGGTGTTCACTGCAGAAAAATCCATAAACGTAGACTGAGGAAATACAAAACACTTGAATGATTTTCTCCAGCTTAAGCTATATACAATTTATGTGAAAGCCTATTATGGTCAAAATATGCTACTTCGTTTCACAACATGGCTATGAAATACAGCTCTCAAAGGTGAAGCATGTATATAATTTAAGGTATTTACTCATCACCATTTTCGTACCCTTTCTAGAGTATGCTAATTAAGGATTTTTCAACCAGAATAACAAGTTAGTGAATAAAGTTGGAAAAATATCCGTTTAAGTTGTTCGAGCATTAGTTAAGTTTGGCCTACTATACTTTTATCTGGATTGACACTGAACTGAAAAGGGAAAAGATTGGTTAGATCAAGATATGCTTTTAATCTATTTAATATCAAATTAAAGAGCTGTCCTCTATAGAAAAGTTTAGGCTATCAGGTCTACATGACAACCAAAACATATAACCAAAAGTTCCAAGTTTTACAGTTAGCGATATATCACACTGACGTAGGTGGAATCACACACTACCATCGTCTCACTTGTAATATCATATATTTTCTTCTGAGTTGAATGTGGATCTTAATTTTGAGGTAGTATTCATCACAGACTGACATCAGTTGGAGAACCATTGAAAACCTGGAAGCACTGGGCAGTTGTTTCGTCCTATTATGGGACTCCTCAGCGGTATGCACCCACAACTGTCGGGTCAACCAATCGGAAGGGAAATGGATGATAGTCACGCTATATCGCGAATTGACAGAAGTTGGAAACTGTGAACCACTGAACTCCAACTCAATGGTTAATGCATTCGCCATAAAACCTTAAGGTCCTGAATTCCACCCCTAGCCGGGTGGTTGGTGCATACTGCTGAGGAGTCTCATACTAGAACGAAACAGCTGTGCAGTGCTCCCAGGTTTTCAATGGTTCTCCAACTGATGTCAGTCTATTATGAATACTACCTCAATATATTTTTATAGCCCCCATCACTTTTTTATCATTTGGCTTCACACAATTAATAATATTATCATCTTAATTCCATTTCCTTCTCAACTGTTTAGCTTTTTAGTGATAAGCGAATGTGCAGTATGAACCGACATGCAGTTTTGCTAAGTTCAAAGTTATTTATTTCAATCTATGTCGATTTAGCAACAAAAACATAAATGCTTTTAGTGAGTAGACAGAATATAACGCATCAAAATTTATACACTAAACAGCTTAGTTTTACCAGGTTTTAATTAAAATGGAAGAAGGAGAAAGGTATTTTTAACCGATTGTAGTAGGATGTTAAAGTTTTCGATTCATTCAAATAATTCTAGGTTAACATCAAACTAGGCTTTTTAGAAATACTGTTTGAAAACGGTTTTCTAGACCGTAACTTCATATTCAAAATCAAATTGTAACCAGTTTCATTGAAATCTAATGTTCTGCAATAGTATTTTGAAAGAAGTAAACCGAAACACTTGAACGGAATTAAATGAAACTGATGGTGAAATGACTACTGAATATATCCATACCAGAGTTATCTCATTTCCTAACTCTATTTTACCAAAATGATTAACATAAAAATTTCTAAATTAGACATCGCAAAAATTATGATTGCTCAGCATTTTACAAGTCTTTTGTCATGATAAATGTTTTTTGATTAGTTTTCTTCCCATCTGATGACCAGTCTGTATGTATGTTCTGTTGAACTTCGCGGAAATAAATATGCTGCTTATCGTTGTAGTAGGGACATCTAAAAATTCATTAATGCATAATTCTGACACTCTCTATATGACATACACGTCACTTGTTTACACCGGATATTTCATGAAAAAAGGCTGTAGAGATTTACTCAAATAGGTGTATATGTATTCTTGATTATATTATATTCTTTTTACAAAACTCCGGGTGCATAAATATCACAAATTTATGGAATTTATTTTCAAGTTTTCAGGTTGCCTCGCCCTGGAATTTTAGGGATATACCAAATGGCATGATTTAAAAATACTTCAAAAATATTTTTGCAGGATTTGAAATGGTTTTAACCTATCTAGATTTTTTCTCAGTTTTATTTGATTATTAGTATAAAAACTATGTAAATTATTACAGATATTTCTGGATTGCTTGCTAATTTCATTTCGAAAGTTCTCCATCTTATTGATATCCTCATTGTGTTTTGTAGGCTTAAACTTTCTAACTGCGTAGTCGTTAGTACATTTCAGAAATCTATTTTCCTTCAAAGTTTCCATTGTATTCATTTCCTGGTCCATTCTTATACGTTAGGTTATTTCACACATTCTGATGTGTGCTGTACAGTACAGTGAGTAAATACTATCATTATCCACTGTACTAGAACTGCCTAAAGGACTAGATGTTTCCGTATTGATACAAAAGTCGTTGATTTAAATTATTTCGATGGTTTTTTTAGATTTTATATTTACTCTTGGGTAATTATCATCCCTTTTTTGGCATAATTCGATTTGAATGCTGGCTTCCACTCTGGTCTTTGATTATATGATGGCTTTCTTCTTTGCAAATTTAAAGATGATTGTGTGTCACCTCTAAAAGAATTTACAATTCGCTCGTGTTCGATACTATGATCAATCAGATACTCGGTGTTATCATCATATTTCTGTAATGTAATTAACTGGCTATCTGAAGTAAGAGAATTATTCTTATTAAGTGGACAGCATATGCTTTGTTGTTGTACGCATTCATCACTTCTATTTAGTTGATTGTTTACAGACTTACTCTCACAAGCATTATCACAGTTCGTTCTTAGTTATTTCTCATCATCAACATCATTATGATTATGGTTGTCTTCATTCACTAAACTATGTAATTCTAATTGATTTTTATTTATATCGGATTGTTGTATATTGTCGTTAGCTTTACACTTCACATGTTTTCTCCGACTGATTGTGTCACTTGTTGTTGGAATAGGATTTAGGACAAATTTACCCAGTGACCGTGATATGTTCACACCCATACAACGTAAAATAAAAATGAGGATGTGAATAATGGTCATAAAATGGTACCATTCTTAAACATTTTTTGTGTCATCTATGTGTAACATGGATTCAATAAGCTTATTCACGTCAGTCAAAAGATTTAAATAAATTGATCGATAAACCACGTGGCTTATACAAATATATTTGTTATTAATAAAATACTTCAGAAAACGACAAAAAGAAATTAAAATTATACTTACAACTTGTTGGTATTCAGAGATCTATTCGTGTTCACTTATTATATCTTAAATCTCCACAAACCTTCAGATAGAATTAATCTAGCACTCACTGGTGACCAGCTTTGAGAGGTGATTCCTTAAGTTCCAATAAGAAGTCGTGACCAGTGGATTCAACCGAGGCTAACGTGAAGACAGTTACTTAGCGGCGACATTGTATGTAGGTCGCTCTATATAGTGAACTGACAGAAATAGGAAATATAGACAACTGGATTCCTATCGAGTGGCTCAATGGTAACATGCTGGCCACGGAACCTGAAGGTCCTGGGTTCGATCCATGGTGATGCGGCGTCATGGGAGCGCACTGGCGAGGAGTTCCATACTAGGACGAAACAGTTGTCCAGTGCTCCCGAGTTTCCAATGTTCCTCCAAATGATGTCAGACCATGATGAATTCCAACCTAAAATTAACATAAATACATTTTCGTAGCGAAGATGTATTCACGTCTTATTTTCACTTAAATCTTAAAAGTTTCCGTGTGAAAAATAATAAATTACAAATCCTCAACCAGGCTATAAAAAAAAAGTGAAATAACTTGGAACTGAGAGGCTATTACTCTTGAGTGGAAAAACATAAAAGTGAATATTAGAAAGAAAGCCAGTTGACATGGAATAATGCTATAGAACAAGTGGTGGGAGCATTCTGTTTTAGACTAGAAAATACCCTATATTCAAAGATAACTGTCTAATATTCATCTTTTTCTGACCCCCCAAGTAATACTGATCACTGACTAGGAAATAATTTTGTCAAACTTATTCATTATTTAGAATGTAATAAAACAGCAGCGAATTTCAGCTACTGAAATATTGACAAAGCATCGTCAATTTTTTTAGTTTTCAACGTGTGTACATAGTTAATAATCACCAGAAAATCTTGACTAAATAAAAATAGAAAGAAATCTTGTCATTCTTCCCTTTTCTGCATCCTGCGATGCTTAGACTTCAACACATAAGCATATGGTCAGATTTCTCATAACGCTTTGTATCCATTACCGTAAAAATGACATTTTTGGCGATGGAGACTACTATCAAAAAGTGTTTTAACTGTTTGCGATATTTTCCGGAAGGTGTATACCACTTCTTACTTAGGGATTCCTAATCACTTTTAGTTCATTTAATAAACAATATATCCAACAATGCATATAACGATGGCTCCATAGTATGCACTCAAATATCTTAATAGAGTCCTGTAATAAACTGCCAATTCACTATAAGTTGAAGGGTAAAAAGGTTCAACGAATAAACGTGTTTCTGTAGATAGCATTCTCAAAATCTGCTGTAGTGCACCTTCCTGGCACCAAAATCCAACTAGGGCTAAAACAGATTAAATTGAATTAACTAAACAAACTTCTAGTTTGGTTCCTGATGCTTAAGATGTCTTAAGTTTTGTTTTAACAAGCATGTGTTTGAGCAGGCTTCGACGCCACTTTTACGATCCCTTTATGCTGGTTAACATGACATCCTCAGAGTCCCTAGTTCAGCCATACTAGCCAGATAACTTGGATAATTTTTACCCCTAATAATTACTATCAAACTTATTCTGTTCAAATATATTGCTCCTTTGAATATATTCCTAGATATCAGTCCTTCTGATTTGCATTTCTTTATCAGTACTTACAGGTTAGGTAAGCTACTGATTAAGCAGTTACTAGAGCACATCGAGTTAAGTAGGGTTGGTCAAGCGTTACATAACAGTAACACATCTGGCACCACCTACATTGCTGAATTGAATGGAAATTTAATTTGTGTGGAAATCTAATGATAAAAGTGTCACTTTGGTCTGCGGAACAATTATTGTAGGTAGGAAAAAATACAAGAATAAAACTAATATATGAATATTTGATAATGTGAACAAATAGAAGGCAGTCAAATGGATGTGAGTTGAGATCAACAAATGAGGAAGATGTAGTGCAACTTTCTGACACCAAGTACAATTAATTCTGAAGTAAATACAGAAACAGTAAAATGATTAAATACTAGCTAAATAATCAGACACAGCGTCCATAAAAGCTCAAAGTTTTGCTGAGTACACATATGGGCTTGTTGATTGTGATCTTGCGTTACCTATGTGCTGATTAAAAACCATATATTCAGAATCTGAGGATTAGCCCTCTACAGTCAGTTAAGCTTTAAATACTTTCCGCAAAAGGTCTTTAGGTCTATCCTGTCAATATATTGCGCTACTCATATAGATGTATCTCTTCATATAAGTCATGATGCACTAAGTAAAATATTCATCAGGGTGATACTCGTTTACTCTAGTTTATCTGTGACTGGCTCAACGTTAAATGGTAACAATACAAACATTTGTTACCAAGTGATTACCGAAGTCAGAAAATAGTTGATAGCGAAGTAGAATACAAAAAGTACCTTTAAAATAGTTCTATGTTTTATTTCTATTTCTGGTTATTTTCCTGTACTTTTATTACTTTTATGCTATCAAGTTTACTATTAGTATGTGCTAAAGTCATGTGAATTTTCGTCTCTGTCATATACGCATCAACGATTTTGAAGTTTCGTTACAGTATATTTTGCCCTACCATGTTAAAATGTCAGTGTAATAACCTTCGCCATCTCTTGACTGAGGACAGTGCTTTCAAAGAAGGGAGTGTAGTGTAACCCAACTGGAATCTTATTCATTCACCTTCCAGTTTCAATTTCTGGACTCCCTCACCTCTTCATTACTAAGCTCCACCGCTTCTCAGTTATCTTTTATTATTCACTTTAAGTACATTTTGTGTACTTTTCTCTTCCGCTTTTCCCTTCCAGTCTCTCGTGGCCATTACTAAACTCACACTGCTCTACGCTTCCCGTGTAACAACGTACCTACCTGCCCACCCGCCTACCTACCTACAGGTTAGAGCAAAACGTCTAAACAGCTGGTCGTTACAAGTTCACATGTGTAGTATTGTTCCTTGAAGTTTTGTTTATCTTAAGCCCGTTTACTTATCCCAAAAATTCGTACACTTTTTTATCCCTCACTCTGGTTTGACAAGGCCTTACACATTTTTACGGACTTTTTTTTGAGTAATGTTTTTGACATAGTAAGCGAAAACCTAGATACATCATAGTCTCAGGTTAGCAGTTGTGTTCATTGTTATTGCCCTCTCGTAGTACACGAATATGTTCGAGAAGAATTTTAAGTTGGCTTCTGTTTATGTGCAACTACAAGGTTTGATTTTTAATTGCCGATACTGCCTAAGCACTTGAACTTGGGATTCCTCGTCAAATCCTACAGTATTTCAGCCTAAAAGCTCAAGTACTGACAAAATGAAAAGGGTTATTTAAGCATATGGACTGCAGAAACTGAAAAAAAGGAAATTATCAAGGAGAATACATTGTGAGTTAGTTTATGGATGTGCACACCCCTCTTTCACTTGTGTGTTGACTAAACTTCTTCAATACAAAGTAAATGTTTCCTTACATCTAGAAGATTCCCTCATACTTTTTACGCCACAGTAAACGAGCCTTCTGGAATCGTGTGTCCACTGTTAACCAAATTTTTTAGGCTATCAGTCGGTTGTATTCATCTTAACTGAGGTACGTTGTATGTTATTGGAGGCGGCGTTAGACGATCTGTATCTGTTTACGTCTTGTGTACCAGGTTCAGCATGAGCAGATTAGTTGATGTATGCATTTAGAAGTGGCCGGCAGTGGCAGTTTCTCCTTCGTACATGTTTTCCCTGTTGAGAGTCAAGCAAAACTGATTTTCAGAGTGACTACACAGCACTTACGCTGTTTCTTTGTCGTTCTCGTAACTAAGAAGCAGTTTCCTGACTTAGTTGAGAGATGACTCATGTGTAGCTTTCGAATCCATATTTTTTATGTAACAATCTTCCTGTGTTTCCCTATTTTTACAAACTTCAAATTTGAATTCTGTCTATCTCAGTGTCAGAACTACGGATTTTCCAAATGACAGAAAAAGGATCACATTTTTTTTGCTGACCGCAGCTCATTCATGAAATTTTTGAGTCTGTTCATTTCACAAATAATTTTATGGTTCTATCATCCTTTTTTTAAAGAATGTGCTCGAAAGGGATATCTTGCAGTGATATTCCATCTTCATTGTAAAATTGATGGATTCATGAATGAAATACAGTGAAAACAACAATAATTCCTAGAAATCAAAACTCTTATTGCGAGCGACAAATTTACTACTAAAATGCATTCTGTAAAACTTGTCCCAGGTACTTTGTTGAAAATCCCTATGTTCATGGTATACAAGTCAATGTAGTTGCATAACAAAAAAGCAGTTTTAGACAGTGGGTCAGCTTTGAACAGTAAAGTAAATTCTAAATTATATTTTCGAAGCAACAAACGCGAATGTATCATCTAAATATTTGCATTCCTGTGAGTTTCAGAAGTTGGAGCAATCAATTGTGAAGTTAGTGGCCAGAGAAATCAGACGTTTCCAAAGTTGAAATTAATGACTTATTAGATATATGGGTTTCCATTACAATATACAGACAAGGAATACTTAAATTTTTGTCACAGAACTGCTCGTGTACCTACGAAAAGCAGAAAACAGGGAACTTCCAGCAAAAGTAATTGCATATTATGCGCTTTATTTCTACTCCTAACAAAGCAGCCACTAATTGCAACACAGGTTTGTATCCGAAAAAAACCCCAAAATTAAAAACCTGAGATTTAACGTTGTTCAACATTGATGCTGGCCTTCATGGCTGTTACTGGCTTGTTAAGCTGAAAGTGCATCTTCAAATATTCACGAACCCCTGGGTGGTT